ATTGCTTGGGATCGTCGAGTTACTAAGCTGGAGATTAAAGTAGACTCAGAAATTGTGGTTGGTTTTCTGAAATCAGGGATCAGTGATGCTCACCCCCTGTCGTTCCTAGCACATCTGTGCTACGGCTTCCTATCAAGAGACTGGTTAGTTCGCATCTCACATGTCTATCGAGAGGCCAATCGTCTTGCCGACGGTTTGGCAAACTACGCTTTTTCCCTACCTTTAGGAATTCACGTTTTTGATTTTATCCCGGAGAGTGTTTCATCCATTATGTTAAAGGATGAAAACGGGGTTTCTGCAACTAGACAAGTTCGTCTGTAATTTTTCTTTGCTTTGAATAAATAAAGGGAGGCATTTGTCTCCTGTTCTCGACCAAAAAAAATATATATATATATACCCGCATATATGTGCAGGCCAACCACCTAGTACTAATATATATAAACTTTATCTTTCATTTATTTGTTCACAGCCAAAATATTTCCCTTTTTATTTTTATTTTTGATGTACAAAGCATTTTTTAAAACACATAATTTTATATTTTCTAAATTTTATAATTTTACAGCCAAATTTTTTAAAAATAAAACCTATAGCTACAAAAAAAAGTTACAGCTTTTTATAACAAAAACGTAAAGCTACAGCTATTACCAATCAGACTTTTTTATTAACTGTTGTGAGTAAGTTTTGGTATTTTAACTCGTTTCTTTAAAAACAAAATTATGAATTTTCCAAACTTAGTTATTTTGGTCAATGACTCAAAAATTACTCAAACTAGGTGATGACCCGCGTATACACGCGGGTTTACATTTTATAATATATTTTTAGATACATAATTAACATAATCTTTTATTTTAAATATAATGATGAATTTTTTTTGTAATTATTAACTATGGTAATACATAAATATTATTTAAATTAATCTACATTTTCTTTCATTATACTTTTAAATGCTCATCAGAATGATCAAGACACACACACAACCAAAAATATGAGTTTCTAAAGAGTATGTATATAGATGTAACAATGTTGGCCAAGAGGAAATTTACCGTTTCTTTAATAATTGTTCAAAAGAAAAATAAAAGAAACACCACAATGTGAAAACTTATTTTATGAGATAGTATACAGTACTTGAGGTTAAAATGTAATCATTTTGATTAACTATTGTATTCTATTAGATTTTTTTTTGGTAAAATATTATATTAGATTTAAAATTACATAAATATGTTTTTCTTCTGTAACTATATGAACTGAGTGGTTTAAATTCTCCTGTTTTTTTTGTTTTGTTGTATATATGATAGTATATGTTTGTATAAAAGTAGTTATAAAGTAAATAATTATAAATAAAACTACGATTCAGTATATTTATGGCAACAATAAAATTGATATTATTTAATTTCTGTACTATATATATATGTATAACCATGGTTATTGACATTGTTTATATAATTTCACAAATGTTCTTAAATCACAGGTGAACTATATACTACAGTGTCATGTGTTTTGTTCTTCTATAATACTATTTAAATTTATAAGCTAAGAATTATTCCAAGATTTAACAAATAGAACTCAATAGCTGTAAAACTGTAAATAAATTTAGTTTTACCAAAAATACTACACACTTTCTTTGAATATCAATTTCCGGAAATTTAGGTAAAACAGTAACCAGCTTTGATCTTTATTGCGGAAAATATTGTGTTAAAGAGGAGACAACAAGTCATATCTTTTTCTCACAAGTCCTCATGCTCCTAGCGACATGGAGGCTTTTAAATATTGGAGGAAATGTAGAATTTGATTCGAGCTTCACAAAGTCTGGAAGAAAATATTAAAAATTGAGTATATAATATTCAGATTTATCAACTGACACAACAACTCCTTCTAACGTGTCGTATGGTATGGAGAATATGGAAGTAAGAAGCGAGTAAACGTTTTCCAACAAAAGTCGTCAAGTGAAACAAACAACGCAGCGAAAGCCTTTGATGGACACAAATAAATTGTTGACAGTGCAAGAAGATGAAGAAGAATGACCGGGAAAAGATTGAAGCATGTGGTGAGAGCAAGCATTGAAGTCGACCATATAAGGGTTGAGTCAAGATCAACATTACAGATTTTCTGCTTAACTATGGTTCGGCGAAGCTTATTAGACATCGAACTTTCTTTAGCAATTATGTCGTATTACTTATTTGATACCAAGACTTTGACATGGAACTAAAAAATATACTGAACAGTGAACACTTCTTAAAAGTTCAGTTCTCAAATGACAAACAAAAAGCGTTGGGGATACAAACCAAAACCTGCAACTGGTAATTGAGGTCTTTTATTGCATATGTTTTAAAACCAGAAGATCTCCAACAAAACAAGTTCCCATACTTGATAGTAACAAAAACCTTGAGCTCTTAGTGATGCTGCAGGCACATCAAAATTCAAATTCATAAAGTATGAACCTAGAAACCGATCATCATCCAAAAATTATGAATCATTTTCTACAAACGCTATCAACGAATTTAAAGGGACTGTCAAGTAACCCAAGTGTATCTTCCAAATGAAAAGAAACTGATATATCGAGAAGTACCCACACAACAATGAGAGTGAACAACAGAAGATCATGCGGCTTGGACTTCAGGGGTTGCAGAGTTTGTTGCAGTTGCGGTCTTTGCGAGGTTTGGGATGTACTTCCAGCATCGTATGTGAACTCCGCTTATCTTCTTTGGAGCTGCAGAAGCAAAAGAACGGACCCCTCCATCATCATATAGTTTTAGAGCCATATAACACATAGCTCCACATATTCCCTGATGCAAGTTATCACAGGAGATTAGTATTTACAATGTAATTTGAAATCATTGATTTGCTAATACCGTAAAGCTTATATAGAAGAAAAAGAAGACGAACTAAACTGCTTACCGTGGAAAGAGATTTAGAAATATCATCTGGGTTCCTTGCCAATCCAAAATCAGACAGCTGCAACGCACAAATCAAGTTGTTCGCTGGTTTCAGATCACAATATACAATTCGTTTCGAATGTAAAAACCTGAAAGAGTTCCGGAAAAAAATGTTTGTAAGAGAAAACGTTTGCTAGATGCACCTAAAGGTAGCGTAAAATTGTATGAAAAGGATCTTACATAAGGGCTGTGACAAGATCATAGGCAATACCATATACAGATTCTTCGGGCAGTTGACAATCCTACAAAACAAAAGAATTTCAGAAAACATGTGACCTACCATCAATAAGACAGCCAAACTACAAGCGATACATGCATCAATAATGTCCTGAGATCACCCACAGCGCAATATTCCAGGACTAACCACATGCGAGCAAATGTTTCATACCTGAAACCACAAGAAGACGATAATTAGAGAAACAAATATAAATATATATATATAGAGCCAAATAAACTTTTCAATTTTTGCTACTAAATTTACCACGCAAAGAGCTTGAGTACGTTTGGATGATTTAGCGAGTGAAGGATCTTGACCTGAAAAGAAGGTGAATAAATACACAAGTGGTCGGTAACCATTCAAACTACAACTCGACCTCTCGGTTCGCAAGCATAAATAGAAACTTAAGAGCACAAATTGACGAATCTAACATGAATATGTCACAATCCAGAGATCAACTCCACATTCATGCATATCAGCAGGAAAAGCTTAGGTAACCCAAGCATGGAATCACTGATTCGGAAAAGGGGAAATCTGGTGATTACCCGACTTGTAGACACTCTTGCAGGCAAAATAATTCATCATCTTCTTATTCCTTCCTTTGTACACAATCTGCAAAAAAAATACGAATGGTTTGAACAAAACACTCTAGAAACAAAGATTCTCGACTGACTATAATTAGATTAACTAAAATCCAGTACCTACAAGAATGAAAAATTCAGAAACACATATAAATCAGAATTATTGCGACGGCCAAATTATACACACCTCTGATTTAACATTCATTTTAAATTTGTAAGAACTGAATATTATTGTAAAACCTAACCTTCAGAATTCCTCAAAGGTCGAGAAAGTGAACACGGATCGCAAGTAAATCCCCCAAGTCGCTGCTTAGATTTCACAGAAGGATTATCGAATCAGAATGCTCTAACTCATGCGATTGAGGAATACCGGATTTGCTCAATTCATCTACATCTCTTATCCGCCAATGATCTCTCTTTCATTAGCAGCATCACCTTCCTCATGGAACTGATCGATTTGATTCGGACTGAAATAGAAAAGGACATAAAAGGTGCCATGAGATCCGATAAGAGAAGGCTTAAAAATATATAGCCCAAGGTAAAGCTTGAGAATTAAATAGAAGACTAAGAATCCGATGAGATTATTTGTGAGAAGAAGTCGTGAAAGCAATAAATATCAGCATAGTTAACGAAGCATCAAATATTGTTGAAAAAGATAAAAATAAAAATTGATTATTAAATTATAATAACTTTTTTTTTAGGGTGATGTATCAGTTAGAGGGATGCTGATGTGTCAGATCCTTGTGAGACTCAACTGAGTCTTTATATAATAGATAGTAGAAACGTTATTTTATTTTGCACCAATAATATTAAATAAAATTCATAATGGTTTTTACAAAAAAAAGATGTAATTTAGGATACAGTTCCGAATAGTCAATAATAAGTGAAATTAAGCAATGTGATAATGTATATTGTTCATATATTGTCCCAATATTCTCAATGCTATAAAATCCATACATATTAATAACATATCTCTACAAATCTAGTATGTAAAGCTAGTAATAATCAGGTCAACAGTGTCAATTTATAATTAGCTAGTACATTTTAGAATTGTTTTTATGGAAACAAAATCAGATAGCTGCCAATTTAAATGGACCATTGTAAGATGTAGTCGTTTTGATTATTTCACTTCCTTGCTTGTAAGTTTTGGTCCTATTTTGGAAGGAAAGTTGTCAATTTACAATTTTACTAAAATCCTTATTTGGCATTCTTATTTTTTTGGAAAACAAATATATAAAAAACCAATATAAATATAATAACTCTGTGCTGAAAAGTTCATTGGCTATTAAAATATCACAAGGTAAAGAAAAGTTCTTTGTTTCTTCCAAAAACACTGTTGTATTAGATTTTCTGTTAACGTTTGCATTTTGTATGAATCCGCTCATATGTATTCTTGTCGCTCTTTCGCGTCAAATTCTAAGATTATATTCTATTAGATGTTGAATTTTGCATAATTTCTACGATGCTTATATCAAAACTACAGAAGATCAAAATCATCTAAACATCTACATGTGATATCTTTATGAAATATTAATCTGATAAAAAAGATTTGTCCAACATCTTCTTCTTTTGTGTGTTCTATATATTGTGCAGATGATTAGGCCAGTGTTTGGTATTCTAGTCTTTTTGGCTATATTCCATTTTCCGGCGACTGAATCTCGGCGCCACCAAAAGACTACTTCCGGGATTGAATTTTCAGCCTTGAATTGCCGGAAACACAGTGCGGTGCTAACTGATTTTGGAGGGGTTGGAGATGGGAAAACTTCTAATACAAAAGCGTTCAAAAAAGCCATAAGCAAGCTCAGCCAAATGGCGAGCGACGGCGGAGCTCAACTCGTTGTTCCTCCCGGAAAATGGCTCACCGGAAGTTTTAACCTAACCAGCCACTTCACTTTGTTCATCCAAAAAGGTGCCACCATCCTTGCAACTCAGGTAATTAAAACGAGCGTGTGCTTCCGGTTTGGTTCGGTCCACGTTGATTTAATGTAAATTCAATTAACAATTAACTCAGGTAATTAAAACGAGCGTGTGCTTCCGGTTTGGTTCGGTCCACGTTGATTTAATGTAAATTCAATTAACAATTCCGGTTTTTGATAAACATCAGGATGAATCTGAATGGCCAGTGATCGCTGCATTGCCATCGTACGGCGAAGGAAGAGACGAAACCGGAACCGCGAGATTTAACAGTCTCATCTCCGGTACAAACCTAACCGACGTGGTTATCACCGGTAAATTTCCAACACAATCACGCCAAATGTTTTTGATTCGCACCGTAAAAAAGACCGGAAGGTACCGATGTAAAAATTTGGATACTGATTTTTGATTATAGGTAACAACGGGACGATCAACGGTCAGGGACAGTACTGGTGGGATAAATTCAAAAAGAAGCAGTTTAAGGTGACCAGACCGTACTTGATCGAGATCTTGTTCTCCGAAAAGATTCAGATCTCCAACATCACTTTGATCGATTCTCCGTCGTGGAACATTCATCCCGTCTACTGTAAGAACGTCATCATCAAATCCGTCACCATTCGCGCTCCGGTCGATGTTCCCAACACCGACGGAATCAATCCAGGTGAAGGGAATAGTCCTACGTGGCAATACTGTTAACATACGTGGCAATATTGTTATCCTATGTGGCGATATTGTTATCCTCTGTTTTTGTGTGTGTGTGTGTTTTAAGCGACTCTGTTTCTTGATTGAACATTTTTTTCAGATTCTTGCACAAACACGCTGATCGAAGACTGTCACATAGTCTCCGGCGACGACTGCATCGCCGTAAAAAGCGGTTGGGATCAATACGGAATCAAATTCGGGATGCCGACGCAGCAGCTATCGATCCGACGGCTGACATGCATCTCCCCGAAAAGCGCAGGAGTAGCCTTAGGAAGCGAGATGTCCGGTGGAATCAAAGACGTCAGAATCGAAGACGTAAATCTGATCGACACGGAATCAGCGATCCGGATCAAAACAGCCCCGGGACGTGGCGGTTACGTCAAGGACATATTCGCGAGGAGGTTCACGATGAAGACGATGAAGTACGTTTTCTGGATGAACGGGAATTACAATTCGCACCCTAAAGGATACGATCCCAAGGCGTTTCCGGAAGTTTCTAACATCAATTACCGTGATATGACGGCGGAGAACGTTACGTTGTCGGCGAGTCTCGACGGGATTGAGAAAGATCCTTTTACGGGTATTTGTATCTCGAATGTGACTATATCTTTGTCGGCTGAGCCAAAGAAGCTACAGTGGAACTGTACGAATGTGGCTGGAGTTACGAGCAGAGTTAAGCCGGGGCCGTGTAGTTTGTTGCCGGAGAAGCATGTGGACTGTAAGTTTCCGACTGATTTGATTCCGATCGAGAGTGTTGTCTTGAAGAAGTGCTTCATCTGATATACTAATGATACATGAAACTGAATTACAAAACTTTTTCTTAACTATATAAATAAGATTATTATAACTTTTGATTCTAAGTTTAAAATTCGTTTAACTTTTGATTCTAAGTTTAAAATTCGTTTAACTTTTGATTCTAAGTTTAAAATTCGTTTTTGAGTGTTGATTATAATTATGAATTATATAGAAATATTACAACTAGTATTAGTTCCCGTTTCGATTTGGTGTTTGGGATCACTCGGTTATGAAAAAGGGGCAAAGAAAACATATTTTTATGTATATGTAGAAAAATGGATTACATAATGGTACAAGCATGTGGATTATCATCGCTAAACATTGAAGCCGCGATCTCATCACCGGCCACCGCAACGGAGTAAACGGCCGGAGTGTGGAAGAAAGTGTGAATACCACCGGTGAGATCGGTACGATGTGCATCGGAGTAATAGTGGTTGGTCACATAAGAAGGATATTTATAGAAAGATGCAAAGTGGCTATTACCTAACCGGTATGGCCACAGTTCAGCCGCCTTACCGGCCCGTCGTACCGCTTTCAATACCTTCTTCTCCTCTAACCGGTATCCTCGAGCCGTCACTTTTTGGCTTTCCATCTCTACTTCCACTTCTTCCACTCCTGCACATAAACCATAAGAACCGGATAAATTAATTAAATTATCGGACAACGTGATGTGAAATAACCGGGGATCTCGATATTCGTTTTCTAGATCGGTTGCTGGCTGAGATGTTCAATCCGGATAAACGAACCAAACCAATAATTGATTTGGTTGAAATGAATTTATTTAGTCAATATAAAGACTAAGCTCAAACCATTTCAAACTCGGAAAAAAAGCGAGTTAAAACTTTTACATTTGGTTGAAAAAATAAATATATGGTTGCATGCATCCATATTACTATATTAGATTTAATTTTAACTTTGGTTACTAACATTCTAAAACTAAAAAGAAAAGAAAAGCTAACATTAATCAAGATCAAGAAGAATTAGGTTAGAACTCATATATAATACCTTTGATCTTGAGCAGAGTCTTCCTAAGCTTAGAAGCACAGCCTTCACAATCCAAATTTGGAACTCTTATCTCCACTGACATCTACAAACACATATCTCAGTTAGTAAATATTTATATTTTGTAAACATAGCGATTTATAAGAATATGAATATTTGTATGAAAATTGTTAACGAAGGACAATATGTAAACACACTGGAGTAAGATAGATACTCACAGACATCCTTAGAAACTCAATCCAAGCGTAATCCCTTATAAGAAAAAAAAAGAAACTCCCTCCAAGCTTACTTAGTTATAAAGAAGGAAGTAGAACACAAAGGCTACATGTTATGGATATATATAGGTAGATTATGTAAGTGAGTGTGAGTATAGAGGTATTTGATATGGACTATTATTTTCATAATTTATTATAGTATTTGTTATTATGTAAAGGGTTCTTGGGTTGTGAAATGGGGAGACAAAGGAAGAACACAGCACGCGTGAAATAGTAACAAAAAAGGTGTGAGCTTTAAGCCTTTAGGTTTTCTTCTCTGCCCCAAATCATATCGCTCTCAGTCTCTTCCAACTCCTAATAACTTTGTATATTTCTTTGCCAACAAATATAGATTAGAGTTTTCCAAGTTATAAACAAGAACCGTAAAGTATAATACCATTTCGAGCCAAAACAATCATTAGATAAATGACTAAATAGACTCAACCATTTTGCACATTGCATGAGTATTTGGCCAACATAGCCATGACCGCTTAGTTATCAACTTTTTTATGTAAAATTATACATATTATATGGACGTATAAAAAGTTTTTTGTAATGGTGATTTTTTAAAAAAAAAGTCAAGAGTATTATACGGTCTACACGAATAATATGGCACCGCCAAATTTATAAACGCTTAATGGTTAGTTGATATTGATAATAGAAGCAGTCCCTACTATAAAGAAGATGATATGAAAACGGATTTATTTAAAAGCATTGTGAAGCCTTAACTTTGTTTGGTTCAAATCTTATCATGTTATAACATATACTTTAGTAATGAAATAATGTCATGGAAATAATCGAGAAATCTCATTTAGGAAAATAACAAAAATCGAGAAACCTATAAACTATATTATCTATTTGGTTTATTAAGTTTATTACATTTAAATGCAATTTCGTGGAGTTGGAAGCATCATGATTCATGAACCATGATCAAATAATTCGATAAAGACATTACATGAGCGTTTCGAGTAACTCGATTTTTTTTACTATGCAACAACAATTCAACCCAAGCCAACAAACGGATCGCAAACTCACTCCTTACAAATTTGACGAACCATCAAAGGTATAAACGACGAGGGTTGGGTTTAGAATTTAGATACCTGACTTTCGTTGACGTATCTTAATGAATGCAATTTTTGTGAATAATATGAAAGGAAATAATGTAAAAGCAAAAGATGAGAGCGTATAATCTGGTTTTTTGATGTGAAGTTGTGATTAAGGTAGGGACATGGATAGTTATTAAGCATGAACTTTAATTCGAAAATTGTCAAAGAGAGCACACCCAAAAAGATTTGTTCAGCCATCATTTTGTTTCTATTAAGTAAGAGGAGGCAACATTAGTATGACATATGTAACCGTTTGTATTGACAATCCACAATTGAAGATAACATTATTCCGAAATTCATGAAAGCTAATAATCCATTACCTTTGAAATTGGTTTCTCTGAATATCCCAAACATTCAAAAGATCTAATTTAAACACTTTTGACTGAACAGTAAACTCCGACCAGGACAGCTCTATGTAAATGTCATGTCGTAACCAGATCGTCGACAGTGGGATATTGAACAAAGGACTTAAAAATGGGATAAACAAAAGGGTCCATTTTCTCGAAATCACATGTGTCTCCGATGTTGCTTTATTGTGGTCCAAAATCAATGCTCGGTTGTTGCCACTTCCTTTTTTAATTCATGTTTAAGTATGAACCAAACCGGAAAAGATATCACCCCTTTATCTATAATTTGATTTGATTGGTTTTGATAATTACGATATCACCAAACCGGCCCATATTTAGAGTAATAAAAAGACGTTGCTCTATCTTTAGAATAATAAACAGATTTTGCTCTTTGTGTTGGACTTGGGCTTACCTCTGGAAGCCGGCCTTATTAACGTTTACAGTTTTATCCGGTTATTTCACGGTTTCACTTATGTGAATGTGATTCTAATATTCAATACTGTTTTAGTATTCGTATTCTATCACAATTATCGTATATCCAAAGTCTCACTCAGCTTATTTAAATGATTCTAACAGCTCACTTCACATTTTTTTCACGTTTCTGTTATATAAGTATATAGTAACACTTCTAAAAATATGTAAAACATAGTTTTAAAAACAATATTTTTTTCTGATAGAACCAAAAGACCATTAAAAAGAATACTTTGGTCTCCCATTACAACGAGAAGCTTTAAAAATTTATTACTTTTTAAGGTACACACACCCTTCAACGTCTACACAACATTAAAAGTGATTTTAATTTAACCAACCCTTTCTTGTTCTCCTTCACATTATTCTGCAACCTGTCCTTTCTTTTTCTTACCTTTTCATCAGAAAAAAAAGCTCTCTTATTTTTTCTCTTTTTCCCCTCTGTCTCTCTCTCTCTCACTTCTTCATTTCTCGTTTCACGTTAATTGTTCTTAATTAATCATCGATCTTGCCGTTTGTTGGGGCATGCAACAGCAAGGAGGGATGATGAGGAACTCGCCGTCGTATGCGTCATCGGGAGGACATTCTCGTCATTTCGACACCATCTTATCTCCTCTTGTCAAAACCGGCACCGGAGCTTCCAACAGATCCTATGCCTTCTTCTCCCTCTTCCTCTTCCTCCTCCTCGGCGCGTTCCTCTCCACGCGCTTCCTAATCGACCCCTCCGTACGCACATTTATTACATTCTTTGTGTTCTGTTCTGTTCCATTTCGTTTAAACGACACTCCCTTTTGTCGTTTGCTCCTGGTGCTTTTTGTGTTGTTGCCACGTGGAATTTGGTATTGGTGGCGCCAAACTCATTGGCGCCTGATTTGTCGTGTCACCATTACTTTTTTGTCAAACAAAGTCACGGAGGGTATTACACGTGTCTACATGGGATTTTAAATCACGTGATTGTTCTTAGTTAAAGTAACTAACTAGTAACTAGCCACCGGTATTTACTGCAACGAAAACGGTTATTTTTACTTTTTTTAACTGTAGGTTTTGATTGAGAAAGAAGCGGTGACCGTCACTGAGACAGAAACGGCGAAATCCCCAATTCACCCTCAGTTGAGTAAGCTAACTACGGAAACGCCAAAAGAGTTCTCGCTAAACTGCGCCGGTTTCTCCGGCAACGAGACTGTAACTTGCCCAAAAAACAACTACCCGACGACTTTCCGATCCGGCGCTATAGAAGATGACTCCGGTCGTTCTCCCCCCGCCACGTGTCCCGACTATTTCCGGTGGATCCACGAGGATCTACGGCCGTGGGAGAAGACGGGGATCACGAGGGAAGCGTTGGAGCGCGCCAATGCGACGGCGAATTTCCGGCTGGCGATCATCAACGGGAGGATCTACGTCGAGAAGTTTCGGGAGGCTTTTCAGACGAGAGATGTGTTCACGATCTGGGGATTCGTACAGCTTCTGAGGAGATACCCGGGAAAGATTCCGGATCTCGAGCTGATGTTTGACTGCGTTGATTGGCCGGTAGTGAAGGCGGAGGAATTCGCCGGAATTGACAATCCAACGCCGCCGCCGCTGTTCCGTTACTGTGGGAACAACGAGACGCTCGACATCGTATTTCCCGATTGGTCCTATTGGGGATGGTAAACGCTTCTTCTTAATCTTCTTCCCTCCAATTACTTTCTTCGAGCACCCATAGCTTTTAGATTATTCCAGATTCAACACACAAGTTTTCGAATCGACAAATGAAACCCTCACAGTAGTTTTACTTGGTAGCCTAAGAATTACTTGTGGGAGTTGTTTATAGATATTTCAGTGCATTTGGTTTTGTAGGGCTGAGGTGAATATAAAGCCATGGGAGAGTCTGTTGAAAGAACTCAGAGAAGGGAACCAGAGGACTAAATGGATAGACAGAGAACCTTATGCTTACTGGAAAGGGAATCCGACGGTCGCTGAGACCAGACAAGATCTCATGAAATGTAATGTCTCCGATGAGTATGACTGGAAAGCTCGTTTGTATCAGCAGGTAATTGAATCTCTGCCGATTTCACATTGTTCTTGTTCTATGAATCAACTAGTTAAGAGTGTCCCCGATTCGATTCCCATTTCTTAAAATCCAATGTATTGCGTAAAAGAAAGTTTTTTTATATAACTTATAGGTTTGAGCAACTTTGAGTATGACCTGTCTTGGCATCTTGTTGACATTGATATGCCTCTACGAACATTAGAAGTAGCCATGTCTGTATAAAAGAGGTGGATCCATAAACCATAATAGAATTTGTTGGTTTAGTTATCCCTGGTTGATGTACTAGGATGCAAAAGTTGGGAGTTTTTGGAATTGTGTTATCGAATGTTTAGATATTTACTTCTCAACACGCTATATCATGGCGTGTTTTTGTAGGACTGGGTCAAGGAATCAAAGGAAGGTTACAAGCAATCAGACTTGGCGAGCCAATGCCATCACAGGTAACAAGCATGTAAATTTGATCAGAGCAACGTTTACATTACTTTTGGGTTCGTGAGAAATGGCTGATGCAAAAATCTTGTTATGCTGCAGGTACAAGATTTATATAGAAGGGTCTGCGTGGTCGGTGAGCGAGAAGTACATTCTCGCTTGTGACTCGGTGACATTGCTTGTGAATCCTCATTACTACGATTTCTTCACACGAGGTATGTTTCCCGGTCACCATTATTGGCCCGTCAAAGAAGACGACAAATGCCGCTCCATCAAATTCGCCGTTGATTGGGGCAACCTGCACAGACTTAAGGTATGAACATTACTTTAAGCCGGTTCTTAATCCTGGTTCAGTCTAGTTACTATGCACACCAAGACACACAAACACACATGTCCATTTATGTCAGTGCACACACATTCGGTAATGAAAACCCACTTGGCTTAGTTTACTGGATTCAATCTCTAAGTGCATATGATGAACCAGACTCATCACCTTTTTTTTTCTTACCAGGCACAAGACATCGGAAAGAAGGCAAGTGAGTTTGTGCAACAAGAACTCAAGATGGACTATGTGTACGACTACATGCACCATCTCTTAATCCAGTACTCTAAACTCCTCCGGTTTAAACCCGAGATTCCTCAAAACTCCACGGAGCTCTGCTCAGAGTCGATGGCGTGTCCGAGAGATGGCAACGAGCGGAAATTTATGGTGGAGTCACTGGTGAAACGCCCTGCAGAGACAGGTCCCTGCACCATGCCGCCTCCTTATGATCCGGCGTCGTTTTACTCGGTTCTGAAGAGAAGACAGAGTACGACTAGTAGAATCGAACAGTGGGAGAGAAAGTACTGGAGGAAGCAGAACCAGACCGGTTCGTAAAACTAGATTCGCGTATAAAGTTTTGTTGTGTAGAGAGAAAAACACTTGCGTAGAAAGTTTTATCTTGTCACGTATTAAAAAATCATACGATATATTTGTCAAGTAGAACCTAGAAAATGTGCAATCTTTAGTTTCCTCTAAATTTTTTTGATATTTCGCAAGTTAACCGTGTTGATTCCAATGATTATGAAATAAAGTCAAGGTTGCGTTGTGTTGCGTGGCTATGATATTGCCTGATGGTGGGCATGGTGCAGCTCGGTGGCCACTCATTCTCACCAAGTTGCTCTTAACTTAGAGGACAAACAATAAACATATATTGCTTTTGATTTAGTCCATAATCATATATGCTCTCTATGTAAAATTTGCACATTTATAGTGGTCCCCGATTTCAGATTTAGTTAATTATTATTATACCATAGAGTGATTTGGACGGTACTATTCGATACCGCATCATGAGGCTGATACACACACCGTGACTATGGCGATCATATCTCATTTTATTATTTGTTTTTAGTTATATACTCATCAGATTGAATTCAAACAAAGATTTAAAAATGGACCTACAAGTATTATTTTGGGATAAGTAAGTTCCAGCAATGTATTCATGAAAACAATTGGCTTTCAATTGGCGTTTCAAGTCACGTGATTTTCCATTGGTAAAACGTGCCTTTCACAGCTCTCTTCATGTGCACGAATAAAGTAAAATTTAAAAATTCATGTGTCTCGCAACCTTTTTTTTCTGCTCATCACATGGTGAAACATTATAGCGTGTGAGACGAGCAATTCCGAGAATTCATGAGCTTTTTCTTATTTTTTAAAAATGTATAAAAGTTTAATTGTTAAATCACAAAACAACCGTTACTTGCCGTCGTAGCACTGTTACCGTTGGTTTGGCGTTGGTGGGTTAAACATTAAACCGACCAAAAATGAAGAAAACCTTATCCAAAACCAAGGCATGTGCCAATGTTAATAGTGACTCGCACAATTAATGCGGTTTAAGCGTTGCCCGGTCTCTTCTACCGGTTGGATCTAAACCTGATATCGCTGTACCGAGAAACCAATCCTCCGTTATCTCTGCTCTATTAAAACCGTCCGTTTTCCCCTTTACTCGTTTCATCATAAAGTAACCACACCGTTCAACTTTCTTCTCTGCTACTCCACTCTCTACACAACTCGGTCGCCGACTCAGTGAAAGAAAATGCGAGAGATCCTTCACATCCAGGGAGGCCAGTGTGGTAACCAGATCGGTGCTAAGTTCTGGGAAGTTGTTTGCGCCGAGCATGGTATCGATTCGACGGGGAGGTATCAAGGGGACAGCGATTTGCAACTCGAGCGAGTCAATGTCTACTACAACGAAGCGAGTTGCGGAAGGTTCGTTCCTCGCGCCGTTCTGATGGATTTGGAGCCTGGGACGATGGATAGCGTCAGATCTGGTCCGTACGGTCAGATTTTCCGTCCGGATAACTTCGTTTTCGGCCAGTCCGGCGCCGGTAACAACTGGGCGAAAGGACATTACACGGAAGGGGCTGAGTTGATCGATTCCGTTCTCGATGTTGTTCGTAAGGAAGCTGAGAATTGTGACTGCCTGCAAGGTTTAGATTCTTCTTCTCAAACCCTCTCTACGCCTTTTGATTGCTTACAAGCTTTGAATCTCTTCAGATTTCCGAATTAGGAGTAGTTTAGTTCTCACATATATCGGCATATGATCTGTAACTTGCTTCTGTTATTCCACTGGATTTGTGCTGTAAATATTGGTCATGAGTGTGAAGGTTCTGCAATATATATATATATATATATATATATATATATATATATATATTGAATATTTCTGTGTATCCTCAGGATTCCAAGTTTGCCACTCGTTGGGAGGAGGCACTGGTTCAGGAATGGGAACCTTACTGATTTCGAAGATCAGGGAAGAGTATCCAGATCGAATGATGCTCACATTTTCCGTCTTCCCATCTCCAAAAGTGTCTGACACTGTTGTTGAGCCCTACAATGCGACTTTGTCTGTCCATCAGCTGGTGGAGAATGCAGATGAGTGTATGGTGCTTGATAATGAGGCTCTCTATGACATTTGCTTCAGGACTCTTAAGCTTACCACTCCTAGCTGTAAGCGCTTTTCTTTAGCTTTTGATTTTCAGTGAGTATTCAGCTTCATAGATCAAGTTTAGCCATGTTTATAATCCATCCTTAATGCCTCTAATAGCTTATCCAGGATAAGGTAAGAAATCAGATGATTTGCATGATCTAGTTTATGCTCTTTTGTGATTCCCATCTCTAATTTAGAAAGTCTGTTACTAAGAAGCTATAGGTGGAATGTGCCTTTCATTTGATAGAATGAGAAACATGAATCACTATTAGTTGGTATATGAGTATATTATTTATGTACATGGGTTCCTTTTATTGCTTGATCAGTCGTTGTTCTTCATTGCGTTTTTATTAATGGCCGTTCGTGTTTGTTCAGTTGGAGACTTGAATCACCTCATCTCTGCAACCATGAGTGGTGTCACATGCTGCCTCCGGTTCCCTGGTCAGCTCAACTCCGACTTGCGAAAGCTTGCAGTCAACCTGATTCCGTTCCCACGTCTACACTTCTTCATGGTTGGATTCGCACCCCTCACATCACGTGGTTCCCAGCAATACCGAGCCTTGACTGTTCCTGAGCTCACCCAGCAAATGTGGGATGCCAAAAACATGATGTGTGCAGCTGACCCGCGTCACGGCAGGTACTTAACCGCATCAGCAATGTTCAGAGGCAAAATGAGCACCAAAGAAGTCGACGAACAGATGATCAACATTCAGAACAAGAACTCATCCTACTTTGTGGAATGGATCCCCAACAATGTGAAGTCAACTGTCTGTGACATCCCACCTACAGGTCTGAAAATGGCATCCACATTCATAGGAAACTCGACCTCGATCCAGGAGATGTTCAGGCGAGTGAGCGAACAGTTCACTGCCATGTTCAGAAGAAAGGCTTTCCTGCATTGGTACACTGGTGAAGGAATGGACGAGATGGAGTTCACAGAAGCAGAGAGTAACATGAACGATCTGGTCTCAGAATATCAGCAGTACCAAGACGCGACCGCGGAGGAGGAAGAAGGGTATGACTATGAAGATGAAGAGGAAGAAAATGTCCAAGAGGAGCTATAACAGTGATCGATCATCGAAGAACTAGACGTTACCTCTCGTATAGTTTTCTCTCTTATCGTTGATTTTACTCGTTTGTGTCTGTGTGTTCACTTTTTCGGTAGTGCATCTTGTCTTTAGCTTTAAATTTCCGGTTTGGTTCTTTCCCTAGTTCCGGTTCACGTCTTGGATTTGTGTACTGTTTGATCTCATGTGTCTTTTGGGGTCTATGTGAAGTCTGAATTCTTCGTTTTCTGATCTGAGATTAACAGCGTTATGATTGTGTCGTCATTTGTTTATCTTTGGGAGTTCTTTTATTCGTTTTTGCCAATTATAAATTTTTATCCAGGAGTTGGAATCTGAACCATTTTAGATGTCGAAAACAAGACATGGTACGGGGCATTACTGTGGAAGCTACCACTCCACTAGCTTGTGTTTTTGAAGAACATGTCATTTTCTATCTTAATAAAATCAAAAGCGTAATGGTTTTTTCCTTCTCCTTGGCTTTATCCGTTTTGGCAGTACGCTTTTCGTTATCAAATTGGCCACGACGCACTAGTTCAAGAGCATTTTTAGATTCTTAAACAAATGACGCAACGACAAGACCAAGCCAAACAGAAGAAATGGAAGAAACTAACTCCTTTATTATACTTCAATGAACCTTTTTATCAACTTTATTGCCAATTTTGTAGTTGCGCTATACCTTTACCACCATGTTCACTTGTAACCATGAAACATATAAAAGGAACATAAGAAGCCAGAAACTAAGAACCAAAAGAGAAAAGAAAACCACTTGCGTGGAAACTAAGACTCATCATCACCAATGATTTTCAGCAAGATGGTGTGTCTTTTGGGTTTTGTTTAGACTTTCTCCAGGAAGTGCTGCGCGACGATACGGCGCTGAATCTTACCGGAGGCAGTTTTGGGGAGGTTATCAGTGATGAACACTCTCTTTGGCACCTTGAAAGCTGCCAAATTCTTCTTACAGAACGCTTTAATGTCCTCTTCGGTCACAGTTGTTCCATCTCTTGGAATCACCGCACAGTTAATCTGAGAAACGAGTAAACCAGGATAAAAAACTCTGTTATTAACGGATCTAAACATCTAATTACGTTTCTTAAGAGCCTTAATGAAGTTTCACATGATGTTTGATGGTTATGCATTAGGACATCAGGGAGACAATACATGAATTCAAATTCTATGTATAATAATCCTTATTCCTAAACTTCGGATCATAGTAAATAATAGAGCAACGTAAGCACCGGTTTTGTTTACCTCTTCGCCATATTTCTCATCAGGAACCCCAAACGCAACGCCCTGAGAAACATCGGGATGAGTTAAGAGTACTGCATCCACTTCAATTGGGGATATCTTCTCACCTGAGACAAAGATTGTAATAAGTTAAGTACAAATCGAAATTTCAAGTAACTGATACAAAAGAACAACATATTGCACAGCATAGCCTCTTTCTTTGAGTTGTTCCTACTGCTACAATACATTTTCTCATTTTCTTATTTGTTGGGCATTCTTCTTTGACAAGTATAACCACTTTATCAAGACTATACAAAAACAGAGATTGATCCATACAAACTGCTTGACATAGACTAGTATTCTAGTGAACCAGTAAAGCCATCAAAAAAGAGTAAATGAGTCTGAAACAGTAAAAGCCATCACAAAAGAGTAAATGAGAGACTCACCTCCACGGTTAATAAGTTCTTTGATCCGACCCACCAGATGCAAATACCCATCGGAATCAAAGTAACCGATATCACCCGTGTGGAACCACCCAAACTCGAACCCTGCCTTGTTGGCCTCTGGGTTGTTCTTGTAACCCTTAGTCACATTTGGACCTCTTATACAAACCTCTCCCTTGCTATTTGGCTCTTGTATCTCACCTTTCTCACTGAGGATCGCCATCTCTTGACCTACCGGTTTCCCAACAGACCCAGGCTTATGAGGACCTTCCTCCGGCAAAGGGTTGGAGCTCATCAGATGCGTTGCCTCTGTCATCGCGTAAGCCTCCAGAACCGGTGCTCCAAAAGCTTCCTCAAGCCTGGACAATATGACCTGACCAAAACCAAGACAATAACTTTGTTGAAAATGTTCTCTATGAATCACAAACGCATCAACAACAATTGAAATGAAACAAAAGCATTACCGGAGCCAAAGAAGCACTGCAGCTCCTGATAAACCGGAGTTTAGGATATTCCGGCTCAGGGTGGCTCGCGTGGCGGTCCAATATGATCTGGTGAATGGTGGGAACAGCAGTATACCATGTGGCGTTATACTTCTTCATGTCTGGCCAAAACGTTGTCGCTGAGAATCTACCAGCAGCTGGGAGAGTCACCGCCGCGCCAGCTCCGAGCGAGCTGAGCAATCCGGCTAACAGTCCATGAACGTGGAAGAGAGGTAGAACAATCACTGTCGAATCGGATTCGGTAAGTTTGTAGACCGATTTAATGTTTTTGACCGAAGATACCAGATTCAGCTGCGTAAGGGGTACACCCTTTGGACGGCTCGTGGTGCCGGAAGTGTGGAGGAAGAGAGCTGAGTCGTCGGGGCTGTTAACGAGCTCCGCCGCTGAGTCAGCGACCGTGTCGGAATCGGCCACGGAAAGAGAAAGGTCCGAGACGTCGTCTAGGAGCGTGGCGGTGACGTGAGAAATGTTCAGCTTTGAAGCTGCTTCTTGAGCCGGTCCGTTTCCTTCTTTAGAGGTTAACAACAGCTTTGAATCTGAATCGGAGAGGTAAAACTCGAATTCCTCCGCCGTGTACGCCGCGTTCAACGGTGCCGCCGTGGCCCGAGCTCTTATCACCGCCAAAAACATGATAACAAACTAAGAAACAAAAAATCAATACCAAGACGCAATCATCCAAAAACATAATCCAATTTGAAATTCAAAATCTCTCAAAGGAGCGAATTAGTTTCTCCACAAAAAAATACCTCGACGGTGTTAGGAAAGGTGAGAGCCACCACATCACCGGGCTTGATTCCGGCGGCGGAGACAAGGCGTGAAGCGGCGCGTTCAATTAGATCGTGAAGACGCGCGTGAGTGAGATCGAGTTTTCCAGAAACCGAGAGCGCTCGACGATCGGGGAATTTGGTGGCGACGTACTTCAATAATCCGGTGAGTGTATCGCTATCCATGGTTCCGTTTTCTCTGGAAGACAAAAATAACACGAGCAGCGATGAGAAAGGTGAAAGCAGAGAGATGAGAGAAAATGCGGTATTTATAAAATTTATATATAATGAGCCACGTGTCATCATCGTAACGGCTTTGCTTATCATCTTTGTGGTCACAGAATTATTATTTTCTCCAATGATTAATTATTTTTTGGTGGGGAGTCGCTGGTTTTGTCCCAATTAGACCGACGTTTAGGTTTTCAAAGAGGTACGTTTTTATCAACTTTTTCGATTTACAGTACCGATCTTGAACCAAACATCTAAAAGACTAATTACGGCTTCTATTTTAATTTAAATTGATTTTTTCATGTGGAGGCAAAAAAATATGCGACATAAACATGTTTAACAAACAGCAGTTAAATAATTATCTAACAAACTTACCGAGAGGCTGCTGATTCGACCATTTCTTACAAATTTACAGATCGAGGACAAAAATAGCTAAATGAGTCATTAATCATTGTTAGGGCCTTTTTTTGCACATGTGGCTTTGACTCGGATTACCACGTTTCAAAGATGCTCTTACGTACACTTTTAGATTATAAACTTAATAAAAAGAAGATAAGCTTAATAAATATATACTATATAATATATTGGTGGGTGGGGTAATTTAATTGCACGCATTTGGAATTGGATTTGGATTTTTAATGTAAAAACCCCTCAACTAAAGATGATTTGGGTATAAACCCCTGAACTAAAGATTTAATATAGAAAACTCTCAAGTAATTTTTATTTAACATATAAATCCCTCCATTAATATTATCTTTAATACTGAATTAATCATCGTTAAATTAAAACGATGTGTTTTAGTTCTGTCAAAAAACGACACAAGCAGCTGCAAAAAATCTCCAAACTGATTTGAAACACAAAAACTCGAAATTGAAAGCTAGGGTTCTTCGCTTAAACGAGATTGGGAGCTCAGATATCTCGATTCTACCCAACAATTCATCATTTCAAAGGAGCTTTTAAAATCGATTTGAGTTTTAGTTTACAGTTGTGGTTCCTTAAAAAGTCGATTATGTTTATCTAAGAATTTGGTTTGGTCTCGATTTAAGAAAGTTAATTTCTTCACTTAAAATCATTTTTTCGTTCTAATTTGGTTTCAAATTTATGTGTACTATAGAACTATAGTTGTTAGTGTCGTTTTAACCAGTTCTTGTTGATCTTTCGTATGATGTCTTGTTTTTGTAGTGTGAAGAGCTTGACATCAATGGATTTAAGACCCGGAATACCTAGGAAGTGTCAGTGTGGGGCATCAACAATTGTGCTAAAATCAAAAACAAACCAGAACCCCGGCAGAAAGTTTTATCGATGTGGCTTAATTTCTGGTCCAAATCATGTGTTCAAGTGGCTTGATGAAGCACATCTTGAAGAATTTGATGTTTTGGTAAATAAGTAATTTATGATGGAGAAAGATTTGGCCGATATGAAGAAAGACATTCTTGATATGAAGAAAGACATAAGTGAGATAATTGCTGTGATCGAGTGTCTTAGAACTAAGTTTTAGAACTTATGTTGAGCTTAGATGTCGTTTATTGACTTTAGAAGTCGTTTGTTGTTGTATTGGCTATTTGGTGTTGTTGTTTTTCTATTTGGTGTCCTTAGTTTCGTTGACAATGGAGTAATCATTTTGTTGGAAGGACAAAGAAATGCATGTTTATTTGGTGACCTTATTTCCGTTGACAATGAACTAACTTAAACATACCATTCATTAAAAATCTGAAACAGAGATTGTTTTTCTTAAAAATCTGAAACAGAGACATCTAAAGTAAAAGTTGCAACATAAAAAACCAAAACAAAAGCATCATAATCATAATATATAGTAGATTATTCGGACTTTGCAACATCAAACCCCTAAAATAGCTTCATCCATCTTCAAAAATTGGTGCATCCATCGTCTTTGGTCTTTTTGAAGGTCTACCACGAGGCATATTGGGTGGCTTAGGCACTGGGTCGAGCTTACATTTCCTTTTGTTTTGCCCGGTTTGATGACAGTTACTACATCTCTGCAAAGAAACGAGATGTATTACTATTGCCAAGCAATCAAAGGGATCTAATAATATAAGTCTTACAAAATCCAATTTACCACTATAATATTGGCATGATAAGAAGGAAATTCTGGAGGCGGATTGGGATTGGTTGGCTTAGGCACCGGCTCTTTCTGGCAAGTCCTCTTATTGTGTCCAGTTTGTCCACAATTGCTACATGTCTTAAAAAAAAACATGTATTACACAAGATCATTTTGAAGCAACTATAAACGAATCTTAAATTTCAAAGAACTTGAAATTTACTTACAACAATGGCTTTTTCAGAAGGAACTGTATTGTCAGAAGGAACTGCATTGTCGGAAGGAACTGCATCAAAAGAAAGTGCTTCAGATGGATCACAAATTCTGTCATTATTTTTGGATCATCCTGGCATGATTCTGTCTGGAGGAGGCATCAACATCACTGTGTGTTTCCCACAATTCCATCCCATTCACCGGAGAAATAAGTGAGCTATAACAAAGCTTCCACTTTTCAACCGAATACCAATCAGAGACTACAGTTTCTGGCAGTTTGGTTTCTCTATACTCTTCCCACATTGCAGACATAATATGACAACAAGGTATCCCACTTACATCATACGCCCTGCAAGTGCAAGAAACCTTCTCTCGAACATGTACCACATACTTATTTCTTCCATGATAAACCTCATAGCATCCTCTTCCATTCGTAAATGGTGTACACCACTTAAGACTCTTTTTTCGCTTCTCTATAATAGCTAGCGCCTTTGGTGTAATCCGGCCTTCAGCATTTTGCATCTCCTTGATCTTTACTAGGTTGCTAGACATCACATGTCTCCTAATGCCCTCTAGCATTGCAATGACTGGTTTGCGGCGAGCTTCTTTCAATACAGCATTGTATGACTCGCTTGTATTGTTTTCAACAGCAGGAGACTTTGTAATATCACTGAAAAAGGCCCTGCAACAAGACAAATCAAAATAGATAAAAAAACCAGAGAGACTAAGTTAAATATAAGAGCAACAAATATAAGCAACAAAGCAAAACGAGAGACTAAAACATGTTGTTGAGGCAACAAATATAAGCAACGAATTCATACCTAGACCAGTTTGAGGCGACACTTCTTTTAACTTCCTCATAAGCTGCAAGTTTTATCCCTTTCATCTGCTCAAGTCTTCTTTTAAATACTTGCTGATTATATGCTCTTGCACATTTCCAAAATAACTTATGCAAAGATGGGAGCTGACCGTGTCTTTTCTTCAAGTTAGCAAAAATGTATCTAGCACACATTCTGTGCTCTGCGAATGGGAGTAGATTTTTGATAGCATAGATCAATCCCTTTTGCTGATCTAAGGATAGCGCAAGAGCATTTCCAAGCTCTAAACCCAAGTCTTCACGCAATAACTCTAAAAACCACTCCCAATAAACCTTGTTCTCCACCGGAACAATCGCCCAAGCAATGATATATATTGAATTGTTTGGATCCCTTCCCACAGCAGTCAACAATTTCCCTTTCATTCGCCCTTTTAAAAAAGTTCCATCGAGATGAATTATCCTTCGACATGCACTATTCCAACCTGTTTTTTGAGCTTGAAAGTAGGTGTAAAACTTCTCAAAAACTCTATCTTTTGTACCTAAAATCACCGTTGATCCAAGATTAATAGTCTTCAGCTCTTCAACAATACATCCTTGTAAACTGCTCAGCATACTCATCGCTGATTATGTGTAGCATCATTTGTCTTGCACTCTGACATTTTGTCTTAGGAACTCGAAGACCTTTAAGAGCCAATCTCTGCATTATTTGGTCAGCCATCAATTTTGGATTGGTCCTAAACTCATTCAGAAAGTCAGCTGCTATCTTTGGGGCCGTGTAGAGATCCACAACTCCTGAAGGATAACAACTGTGGATTCCTTTGTAGGATCTCACAACCATATATTCTGAGCGATTGTTGATCGATGCATATATCCTCCATTTGCATCACTCTGCTACACATGCTGCTGTAACTTTCTTCCTTTCAGATCTCTGAAAATAGATATTCAATTTCTCTTTCACAGCATACTTCTCAATTGCATCTCTAAACTTATCTTTCGAAACAAATGATTGGCCTACATAAAACTCAGTTTTTTCACCATCATCATCTGAATCATCACTGTCAACATAATCATCCCTATAAAATTCAAGCAATTAGCCATCATTCTCTGATTCCTCTTCTTCTTCATCTTCTCCAATAAGAACATCATCTAAATAAGGATCATCCGCCCTAACAACATACAGATTCAAGTTTTCCAACTCAGGTGAATTAGTCACCATTTCTACAACATCACTATCATCAAACAAGTCCTTCCGATTTTGATCTACGGTTCCAGATGGAAAGTAAGAAAACTTACTCATATTATCTGCAAAGCCCTCGCACAAAACCATATCTAACAACATCTTCAAACTCAGATTTTTGAAATCAACCCTACATCGTCTGATTCCCCCACCATTGTATGACCCATCTCCTGCCCAGTACCCTCCCACATGTAAACGTAAGAAAATTGTTCTGTAAAAACAAAAAAATTGAAAATTTGTTAACACAAGTACAAAACTCAAGACACAAAGTGTTGAAATCGTAATTGAAAGAGAAAACACAATTACCTCATCATCTAACCTCCAATCTCCACAGCTTCGCAGTCTAAAATTCAGAAAATTAAAAAAAATCCTACGCCAACTTCTCTCAATAGTCAGTACCGTCCAGCTTTCTTTCGATTTTGTTCTAATAAGCACAACACAAGAAATCACTCACAGTGAGTAATAATCGACTATCGAGACACACATATTACAGAAACCCCATTTTGTAAAATTAGGGCTCGTGATTTTTAGGGATTCAGAATCGAATTTGGGGATTTTTGACTGATTTTAAGGTTTTAACTCGGGCTACAGTTCGAGCCATAAAACATCATGCTGTTTTAAAAAAAAACACACGTCGTTTTAAGCACAAATCGTATTGTTTTTTCACAAATTCAAAATAGTGTGTTTTATTTTAACGGTTCTATAGACGGAGGATATATTTTATTAACAGACAATAGGTTGAGGGGTTTCTACATCAAATCTGAAATTGAGGGGTTTATACTCGAACCATCTTTAGTTGGGGGTTTTTTACATTAAAAACCTATTAGATTTCTGTAGACGATTATTGGCAAAGTGCTAGATGACCAAGGAAAAATGCCTTTCAAAAGAACAGAAAAAAAAAAGAAAAAAAAAGATGATATTTTTTTTAAGTAATCAATGTTTGTTTGTCCATACTATACAAATTATTGTATAGCTTTATAGACTTATATAATCCATCAAATTCTCGAATATATCTCAACTAATAAACTAGATTTCTCTCAAAATATATACAGATTTTCGTTCATGTAGTTTGAATTTATGTTTTCAATAATTTTTTTTTTCTTTCAGAACTATGATTTCAGTAAATTATTATTATTTTTTAAAAATATTTTTTAAACTGCATTTATATTAGTAAGAAACAGTTACAATTGATGCTCCGCAGGGTTACAGCTAATGATTTCAGAATGATCTGCAATTAATGTAAAGCAAAAGCTTTAACCAAAAAATGGGTTAGTAAATCGAGAACCAGGTGGAGAGGTACAAAACTGATGAAGGGGTGTTTGGAAGCGCCCGAGAGAGAGAGAGTCTAGTCGAGCTCGAAGTAGTCTCTTGATGTCTTCAACAATAGTAACCGCCGGACGGGAGACCGCCGTATGAAGTCTAGAATTCCTTTCCTTCCAAATAACATATAAAGAAGCTTGGAAGGCGAGTCTGATGATGAGTGCGACATTCTTGGTAGTCGGAGGGCTGACCATCCAGTGAGCAGCAAAGCGAAAGACAGAGGAGGATGGATGTTTGCAGACATGGTAAAAGCCGTCCACACTTCTTGGCTGTAGGGGCAATTGAAGAATAAGTGATCTCTCGATTCGTCAATAGAGTTGCAGAGGAGGCAGAAAGTGGGGATATTCAGACCCCAATCCCTAAGCCTGTCTCTAGAGTACAGCCTGTCCCGAGCAGCTACCCAACAAATAAAAGCGTGCTTCGGTATCCTTCCAGAAAACCAAACTGCTCTATTCCAGGTGACAGCGGGTGGGCATGGGTGAAGGAAATTCCAAGTAGCCAAAGCTGAGAATGCTTTCAAGACCCCTTTAGAACCTAGTTTCCACTTATAGTAGTCATCCTCCTCTGCTGTGGCTATTGGCAGTGGATCTGGCAAACACTGCCAGATCAAGGAGATAATAGGATTGCGACTCCTAGATCCGTAAATCCACCAAGCCCCGTTGCGAATGCAATCCGCCACAATCACCATGCTCGTGATATCACATATTCGAAGTCTCTGTGTACCCGTGAGATTGATCAGAGAATCCATTCTTATTCAATTGTCATACCAGAAAAGAGCTGTGAGGCCCGAGCCAACATCACAGCAGATGAGGGGCCTAGCAGTGTTTTCAGTAAATTACTTACACATTAAAACATAGTAAGTTATATAATAACGTTATCACTTCACCATATAAAGAGAGAAAAGCAAGGAGTGAAAAATAATAATTTAAAATTTTGATCAATTTGGTTAAAGATAAAAATAGCAAAACCATGCACGTGGATAAAAGTAAATGTTTTTTTTAATAAAGAAAAAAACATACATTTATAACAAAAAATAACTAAATAAGTAAATATTCGTCGACTACGAAGCTGAAAAAGTCGTTTTCGTTTCTTGTAACTAAACATAGTTTTCATGTACGCCATCATAGGTCTACATGAAGAATTTCAATGAATTTGAGTTGTGTTTGTTCTCTTGACGTAACATTGTCGTATGTCGACCATTTAAAAAAGAGCTGGCATGGATACCCAATATATAAATTTGGATATATATACAACTAGGATATTGGCCCGCATGCGAACATAAATAATTTTAAAAATGTAATTATTTAAATATAATATCTAAATCTATTTTAAATATTTTAATTTTTTGTAGTATATGAAACTCAAGATCAATGTTTTGAATTATAAGACTTTAAATTAAGTAGTAAATTATGATCTAATTTTAACTAAACATTTTGTTATATAAATATTCATTTATATTTTGAGACAGACTTGAAAAATAATAATTAAGTTTAGAAAACACAAAAATTATTTTTCCATGATCAGGCTTTGTAAAACTTGACCTATTATGTTAGAAGGTCAAATGGGTCAAACTCGTGGATAGCTGGTTACATTTTTCGGATTTGCGGATCAGACTGTAAATTTTATTTTCTCTGTTTTTTTTTTTGAACAAACATTTTTCATTTTCTTTGTCTTTCTATAATCTTCCTCAATTTAAAGCATTATTTCTTCAAGGATTCCATCACTGTTGGTCTCGATCTACTCATATGTGTGATTTTTCTACTTATACTTTTATCAAGTAGACTCTACAAATAATTGCAAGACCATCTCCACTTAAGCATCAAGTGCTTCAATTAACTCTATTGCAAGACATGTTTCAGTGAATATTGGATATAAAACTCTATTTACTGTCCTGATATATTCGAAACATACTGGTCTTCTCTGAACATTTAGCAACATTTTAAGGTAGAAAAGCTCACCATATTCTTCGGAGACTTCTGGAAGGCTGATATCGTAGGGAACGTTGTTTTTTCTATTGCAAGGGAGCCACTTTGTTATTTTTTTTATGCCAAACCTATTAGTTTAAAAATTCAGTGTAGCGATAAAACTTTGCTTCATTACACTCACGATTGGAGTTTATACAACATTTAAGTTTCATTTTAGCTATATTCGATTTAGATAAATAGATTGGTAGAATTGTCATGCCCGCACTTTGAGTTAGGGTTTGATTTGTTTGATGCTCATGTGTGTTGTGATGTTTTTTATATAAGGATCCGAGTATTTAACTTTTTCATTAGGTATTTGGGATGAACGTAATTTTATATAGATCGTTTTAGTTTTTATTAAATGGATACTAAACTTTTCAAATAATGTAGAGGATAATGATTTTGGTTTTTCATTAGATGCACATTGATTTTTTAGGATATTCAACGTTTGTTACGAAAAATAATGTAGAGGATTATTAAATTGAAATCTTAAATTTATATTTGTTATTATTTTTAAACTAAACTAATATTTTTTAAATTTTGAATGCTCTACAGAAGATCACAATAATATCTTATTTTGTTATTATAATTTTGTCAACTAAAGTATGTAAAAACATATGTGCTCGTAAATGAAGCACCGTCTTTACAAAAAATATGAATTATTAGATAAACGATTTGATCAATGTGATTTTGTTATTATAATTTTGCCTACTGAAGTATATGAAAATATATGTGCATGTATTATGTATGAATATAATATTATATATATATGTATATGGAAAGTCACAGTGGTCTACGACAGAGTTATAGAAATTAATTGGTATATAATATAGTATTATCCATAGTATAATAATATATATATGTATTAAAATCATCACGTTCAGCCCAAAATTCATATACTATTATTCATATAGATGAATAGTAATATCAGGCCATTCGTAATACATCCGGCGAATCATTCCATATTTAATTATTAATACACTAAATTTTGTCATCTAATTAAATTTTTTATTAATGAAAATATCACAAAAAAACTTTTTGCCATGTCATAAACCACATGTGTTAGTAAATGTCATGTCACAATTACATCATCATTACACATCATCATTTTCATGTTACATTTAATTAGGATAGAGAAAAGATTTTAACCAATCAAATTAAAACAAATCAGCATTTTTCATTAAACTACCTTCTCAATTAATAGGTAGAAGATTTTGTGATAATTATTTATTTGTTCATATATAAAGTTAGCTAGTTTCACATAATGCATGTTATTGGTAAAAAAAAAGTTTGTGATAATGATGATTTATTAAATTCTGGTATGTGTACAACTTATAAGTTGTACTATTGTATAACAGTTTACACCAAAATTTACTCTTCTAAAATTTTATATATCTTGCTATTTTCCATTTTTTTTTGCCTTCAAATTTCCTTTCCCCAAATGATTCAAAAAAGATCCGTGACCGTGAATATCAATTTTGTAGAGAAAAACATAAAACGGGCCTTATTTCCATCACATTGGGCTTTAGGTTTAACTCTTCCACCGGAAAAAAAAAAGCTGATGAAACCTTGACGATCAAACCCCCGTCACCGGAACCCATTAAGGGCACTGTGTGTTGCGACGAGGTACAAGACAAAAAAACACTAATCATGGCTACGACTGAGTTCGGCATCGTCTACGCCGTCCACATCATCACCGTCCAGTTCGGTTCCGTCGTATCGGTAAAGTGAAACCCTAAACCCATTTTGGAGATTATGAGATGGTTGATTTGTGTATAAACGAATTTTGATGATGGGGGTTTTCGGGTTTACTTGCAGAAAGTCTGCGAATGTCTTCTCCGTAGAGGACCTCTTTCCTCGCGGGACATCTCTCGTCTTGCGGAATCTGACATCAATCACAACAAAGTCAAGGACATTCTGTACCTCTTGATTCAGCACAATTGCGTTCAAGCTTTCTCTGTTGAACCGCCTGGTTAGTCCGGTTTTCTTGTTGGTTCGGCTTGGTTTTTTGCAGTTTTCAATCACTCCATTTCAAGGCAATTTGTATATTCTGCATTATGCTGATTGTGAAAAATTGTTTCTTTGGTAATAATATATGCTTTGGATTAATTTGATTGCGTGATCTTGACTTAGATTTTAACTAAAGTGGATAGTATTAGAATAGCAAAGAACTGATAGCTTTATTAAACTTGTGTTCTTGCACGGTTTGATTTCCTCTCACTTTGAAGAATTTGAAGTTAGTCTATATGGTTGGACATTAGTAGCAAGCACAGGAAAAGAGAAATGATGACATTTACCAAACACTTTTACTTATCATTTTGACATGTAGATGGTTCCGAGAGCAAAGCTATTGTGCAGTACGTTGTGCTGTTTAACAACATTCTTCATCGTGTGAGGTATAACAAGTTTTCGAGGATTGTAAACGAAGAACTTGGGTCTCAGGTTTGCTTCCTGCATCTTCATCATCCTGTTCAGTGTTGGCTAAGCTTCAAGATGTGCCATATCTTATATACTTTTGATCTATTTGGACAGTGCGTCGCAGTTCTTGATGGTTTACTTGGTAACGGTAGGCTTACCTTGGGACAGCTGATAGAAAGAGACAAAGGTCAGTCCCGTTATATTATGTGTGTCTCATTTTGATCACTAAAATACGTCAAACCGAGGGGGATACTAATCTGTAAGATACGATTTTGATGCATGATTCAGATTCAGAACATACAATAGGTTCAGAAGCGATAAGAGATTCTCTTCAGAGATTGGTTGCTGCACGTTTTGTGGAGCGCATTCCTTCTCCCGAACCTGTTCTTGGAAACAAAGAAGGGCCTCCAAAGAAAAGAGGCGCTAAAGCTGCCACGGTAATTGATAAGGTCTTTCTGGTGTATGGTGTTACAGCGACGTATCAAGAGATGCATTAATAAAACAGTCTCTTGACATTGTGTGTAGATTTTTAAAGAACCGGAAAGCTTAGAGGAACGTGTTCTTGAAGCAGCAACTCCAGTTGAAGCAATAAGGTTTCCACTTATATTCGAACAAGAGTCAAATATATCTTTAGCTGATGATGATAGCAACATCTCTGCGGGGAAGGTATCAGCATCCTCACAATAACCAGTTTTGGATATCAATGATGTAGCACTGTTTATATATCTTTTGTTTTGATGTTTATGTTTTTAACCGACAATGTGTTTCAGCGTAAACAACCCGATGTGGACTCATCAGATCAGAGCAATGAAGTAATATGGCGTCCTAATTTCGAGGAGTTCATCCGCCGCCTTAGGCATAAGGTTAGTAATACCTGTGTTTCTCTTTAAGGTTGTTTCATGAGGCCATAAAACTCTTGTTCATTGGCATTTCAAATATTGTTCTCTTACTCCATCACTAATATGAATCTTTTGATCACCTGTTTCGTTTTTGTAAGGCGTGTGTGGAGATAGTGAAAGACCGCAGGGATGAAGGATGTGCCATTGTCTTGAAGGCAATGTTAGAAGTTGGAAGATCTCAGGAGAAGAAGGTGAAAACCGACAAGTCGGGTAATATCTGAGATGATGTTTACTCATTTGTCATTCAAAATCTTTACATAAAACAAAATTGCTGAATTGGCTTTAATATTTGAAACAATCTCTTTCTTTTTTAGTTCCAATATCAATGGGTTCCATCTACGAAGAGGTTATAAAGACAGAAGCAGGCCGCACTATGCTACAAGAGCGAGTTGAAGCATGCCTTGAACAATTGAGTGCAACCTCTTCTTATCTACCAGCATTTGTGATTGAAACGGATGATTCGTATGTAGTTGGTATAGCAACTCCATCCAACATCTGTTCAACTGAAATAACTTTGGATTCAAACTTCCCCGTTTAATTTATTTTTGTTTGCAGATTTTAAATCCATCATCAGCGTAGCACAGAAAGATGAGGTATGTTCTATATTTTTCTCTTTTTTCTGAAACGTTTCTGAAACTGAAAATGAGATTTGTTTAGATAGAAGCAGTGATTATGAGAAGATACGGTAAAGAAGCTTTCAGAATGTTCAGATACTTATCTCAGGAAGACCGCTTTGTTGAGACTGATAAGGTTAGTGTCCCTTAATTTTAATTAATATACAAACATGCTTAAGTAATAATACTGGTTTCTTAACTATTCATTCAGTTTTTTATTTTTCTCTGTTAAAAGATTGCTGATGCTGCATTGGCTGAAAAGAAAGACACACCTCAAATTCTTTTGAAGATGTGGAAAGACAGTTACTTACATATGCAGGTATGCATGTTGAAACCAGAAACTTATAAACTAAAGAAACAGTGGTTGATTTTGTGATTCATGATTGGTTTCTTATTTTGTTGTAGAAACTGGCGGTGACTGGTACATTTTGTCCCTTCCAATTGTGGAAGGTAAACAAGCTGATTGTGTCGAGGCAAATGTTGGATGAGATGTATCATGCTTCCTTAAACTTGAGTCTCAGGTTGACCCATGAAGTTGATTCCGAGAAAGAGGTTAGAGTCTCTCACACTTCAGATCGAGATTGAGATTACCTTTAAAAGGTTGTAGATAGATATTGATGGGTTTTCAAGAATGATCCTGTATATGCTTAAAAAAGTGTTGAATTGTTTTGTGTGTGGCAGTTGCTGTTGCTGCCAACGACGAAACTTGAAGGAGCATTGAAGGAGAGACTGAATAAGATCAAAGCTAAGAGGATGTTGCTCTCTTCCACTAGGTTTAAACTTGATGATGCCATTATGCTTTTTCATGACTTCTAAATTCCACAAAAACACTTTTCTGTTTTCCTTTATATTAAGTCGATTTGGTTATGCTTTTCTTCTTTCACATTTGTTTACCGATTATTTCTTGAAAGAATTTGTTTTGTTTCCATTACATAATCATAAGTTGTTGGGGTTAATTGATATTTGTTTCGATATAAATGGTTTACATACTTTTTACACATAATAGAAAACGAATGAAATAATAAATCTGTTATTATTCTTAACGAAGTATCAAGTCACGTTCCTTATAACCTACAAGAATAATTGTTTAGGAATTGTTCTAATCAAAAATAATTATTTTGAAGATAATTTGTTCTAACAGAAAAATAAATATGAGATTATAATTAGACAAACATTTAGCACGTAGAGATGTGTGATCTGATCATTTCCCATAAATCCAAAAGAAGTAGTAGCAAAATCCAAGATTTTAAGGGTAGAAAACTGATGAAACAAGTAACAAAGTCTGATACACAAAAATTCAGTTCCAAAAGACGAAACGATATAAAGAAGTCTCTTCTACCTAAGAAGAAGGATCCTCACTTCTTCTCTTCTTTCTCAGCATCCGCAGCTCTCTTGGCTCTAGCACCGGCATGTCTCTGGTTCGTGCGCTCTAGACGGATCTTGTCATAGGCCTTGAACGCCTTCATCTCAGAGGTCACCTTCACAAGCTCCATTGTTGGCTTCTCACGGACAATAGGCATGTAGTCTCCTTGGACCTGTGTTGCATTGGCCAACTCTTCTGGAGTAGAATCACCAGCCTGATACACACAACACACATAAGAACCAACAACATGAGACCAGATCGAAATCTAATCCAAAGATTTAACCCTGAAGATACTACTAGACGGGTTGTTGTTGCTGGTTTCGAAGTAGTACCTTAACCTTGCGAGCACGACGCGGGAAGATGACCAACTTAGCCTTGTAGGTTTTCAGCCTCTGGATATTGGATTGAAGTCCCTCCAAAGATCTGTTCTTGCGACGGTGATCAACAGAGATACCGATTGTGGGAGCCAACTTCTTGGGGATACCAGCAGCCTGATTCAATTAGAGACATATATTACAATTCTGAACAACATGAACAAGATTAAAAACAAAAACAAAAAACAGATGGAGAATACAAACCTTAAGCTCTTCAAGGGTGAATCCTTTACCGGTTCTGAGCTTCATGTTGTACTTTAGTGTCTGACCATGCACAATAGGGCGGAGAGGTCCAGATGTGGGACGGGGGAAGATCTTCACAGCCTTCTTCTGCCTCGCTGAGTTATCATAACACAAACAAAGGTTACAAATTTTTATACAAAGAGACAATGTTGCAACCGAGGTGAAAACATTAGCACATAACGTTAAAGAAACAAAGATTAAGACAAGCATTGTGGTAACGATACTAACCAATTCTTCTTCTGGTTTTCCTGGCGGGCTGGTTGAACCATGTCTTCACATAGTTCTGCCAGTGCTTCTTGAAATGTCCGTTCGGGATGACATTGTTATGCTTCATTTCTTCACCTCAGCTGCAAAACAGAAATCATCAACATGAGAATCACACAAAAAAGCCATTAAGCAGGTCATGGAGAATTCATATCATGTAACTTCACACTGCAAGACTATGCAAATTCAAGTAAAACAATTAGTAATATCAAGTAGACGATATCCTAAAGTTGAGCCTTTTGTTAGGGACTAATCTCAATCTCTCAGAGAAGAAGATACGAAAATCTCCAGTTAGATTATTAGTGGCATCAAACTTTATTTACATTAGGGCGTTTTCCACAATTAAATAAGCGAAAAACTTCATCAGTGAAATAGTAGACTTAGTCATTCCAAAGACAATACTACCATTAATCTCTCTAAAGCAAAACAAAATCAACGGATTCAGCAAGGGACAACTGGAATAAAAACCAACGAGCTTGGAAGATTCCGGAGCTAGCAGAACACTTGAAGATTCGATTAAGAGAAATGAACAAAAAAAAAATGCAAGACTCTTTACCGATGATACGAATGCTTAATTCTATCGCTAAGCTCTTACAACAACGGAGATTAACTTCAAAAACCCAATACTCACTGGAAGAATCACAGAGATGAGAGACGACAAGTAGAGAGAAAGAGTACTCACAAGTCTCGGAAAAGCTGCGGCGAGAAATGTCTAGCTTTCGTTGATGTTTTAGGTTAAAGCTTATAAATACTAAAACCCTAATGGCTATGATACTTTGAGCTAATGGGCCTTTACCTAAATGGGCCCATAGAAAATAAACCCATTAAAAGAAAGAAAGCCTTTCTTCTGAAAGACGTTGGATTTTGCGACTTAAGTCATAGTCTGAAACACAATTGAGGTGATGAATGTTTGGTTTTTGGTTTTAGTTTTTTTTTTTTTTTTTTTTTTTTTTTGGTTTTTGATTTTTTGTATATATCTTGGTTTTTAGAAATTTTTGAATGGTGATTTATTTTAGTTTTTGGTTTTTAAGTACATCTTCTGTCTCTTGTTTTAATTTTGATTTCTTAAATTTTGTTTATTGATTAAATAAATATATAAATTTATTAATCTGAAAATATACAAAATAATAAATAATGCACAGAAGATTATTTCATCCAAAAAAATCAAGAACAGTGCATTACATAAATATATTTTGAAAGGAAAACAATAAAGACAAATTATTTTCTAAAAATGAAATCTTTTCTGTGTGTACTTACAAGTAGAAGAACTACAAAAACTTTACTTTTGTTTAGAAAAAAAAATGCAACAACGTATTTCGAAAAACTTATAATTTTTTGTTTTAAATTTTATGGTAGATTTTTGTTTTAAAAAAAAAATTTAAATGGTGATTTATTTAAATTTTGATGAAACAATACTTTTAAAAATAATTTTTTTAAAAACAACCTCATCAACTTTTTTTTGGAAAACTCCATTAATTATGGTTTTTGGTTTTTGCCACAAAATCACAATTTTTTAAAATACTAGTTTCCCATACTTTAGGAAATCGATATGGTCAACAAGTTTTGCCATTTGCCGGTTAGAATTAAGAACGCAGCTTTTTTTTGTTCAAAAACCAATCATACTTACTTCACATATACAAAACTGTTATTTTCAAACTCTGAATATAAAGTGGTGAAAAGTTCTTAAAAATGTGTACAGGGGGAATTTTCTAGAAAAATATTTCAACTATATAAATTTCGGTTTCACCTCCTCAACTTAATCACAACGTTTTGGACTTTTGGGTAGTTGGTAGTTTTATTATAAAACTTATTATGTTTGATGCTTGTCAAAAGTGGGGTAGTGTTACTTAACTGAATGGACCATAAGTTTACCTGTTTCCTGTTATTGTAATAATGAAAAAAAAAAAAAAAAACTAAGCTAACTTGTTGTACTATTGAAAATCTGAAGTTTTGATTGCGTGATTTGGTAATACTATTGAAATTCTGAGTTTTGCAATAATAGAAGTTGTGTAATTTGTTGTACACACTACAGATAACTTGCAATTGATCCTATTAATGCAATTACAAAGTTGTTCAACTTTTCATTCAATCACTCTTTTGACCGCTTGGTGATTACTAGTTGAGCATATTTAGTAGCCAGTAGCTAACACCTAACTTAGTTGAAGTTAAACTAAATTCCAAAGCTCAAATAAATTTATATCTAGCTTTACTTTGGAAAACCATTATACTAGACTAATATTCAGAATTTGCAATTATGAAATCTATACTAATCAATATAAAATAATACCTGACCCCCAAAAAAAAAAAAATGTGACTGATGAAAAATGATCAAATACCTATTTCGACCAACAACAAAGCTTTTTTTATAACCAATAAACAAATCATTTCTTAGATTAAAAAATTACACTTTTTAATTCAGTTCTTATTATTTCTGTAATATTTCAGTTTTTTTTTACCAAGACAATCACAACTAATAAACTGCAAATTTAGAGATTATTTTCACGGCGTCACCAAAATTAGTATTTTTATTTTTCCTTCACTTTCACACAACAAACACAAACACAAACACAGACACAAAAAGCTCTGCAATTTTACCCAAAAATCACTGCCGTATTCCGCCACAATACAGAGAGAAAAGCGAGCACGAGTCCAGCGAGTTTGCGACCACGAGTCCGGCGAGTTTGCCTTCTCCTTTCAATGGCGTGAATACCATTTCATCTTCTTCCTCGAAGTTTTTTCTTTTTCCACGGGACGAAACTTCCCTATCTCTTCTTCTTATACGCTCTAGAAATTTCTACAGCTTCCCCTCGAATTCATAGACTTGAATTTCTGCTAAAATAGGAAAATTTAGTGTGTTGTAGTGATGCATAATCCTTTTCCCATGAATTCGAGTTCTGGATATGTCTCTTGAAACTAGAAATTAGGACTTCAAAATCTTCAATTTCACCCCCAGTATTCATCTCCATTATTATTACTCTGTTTCTTGATTCACAAAGTTGACTTTTTTCCTTCCCACTTCTATTTGCTGCTTCCTTGCTCAATTCTCACATCTTCAAGTCCTAATCGAGCTATTCTTCAGTTGGGGGGGTACTAAAGTTTCGAAATTTCTTGGTTTAATCATTAAAAGGCTATGCTTTGATCGTCAAATCCCTATGAGCTCTATGATGATGCTGGTGTTTTATAACTCTATATGAGTATAATCTGTTCATGTCGATTCTATGTGGTTGCTGCCCTCTTCTAGAGTGTGTTTACTGCCTCGGTTGTGCTCGTTGGGCTTATAAACGCTGTCTTTACACGGCTGGTCACGACAGCAAAGACTGGGGGCTTGCGACAACCGACGAGTTCGAACCGGTTCCTCGGTTCTGCCGCTACATCTTAGCGGTTTACGAGGATGACATTCGAAACCCTTTATGGGAGCCTCCAGAAGGATACGGGATAAACCCTGACTGGTTGCTTCTAAAGAAGACTTATGAAGACACTCAAGGCCGTGCTCCTGCTTACATACTGTACCTTGATCATGATCATAAAGACGTGGTCGTTGCGATCCGGGGGCTGAATCTTGCTAAAAACAGCGATTACGCTATGCTTTTGGATAACAAGCTCGGAGAGAGGAAGTTCGATGGCGGGTATGTGCACAACGGGCTGTTGAAGTCTGCTGGTTGGATGCTTGATGAGGAATGTAAAGTCTTGAAAGAGTTGGTGGTGAAGTATCCGAGTTATACTCTGACTTTCGCTGGACATTCGCTTGGTTCTGGTGTGGCTACGATGTTGGCTTTGTTAGTGGTTCGTCATGCTGATCGGTTGGGGAATATCGATAGAAAGAGGGTCAGGTGTTTCGCTATCGCGCCTGCGAGGTGTATGTCGTTGAATTTGGCTGTTAGATATGCGGATGTGATCAACTCTGTTGTGCTTCAGGTTTGCTCTACATTTTTTTGCAAGATATGTTTTTGGCTTATGCATCAAATGGCCTAAATGCTGAATCTAAAGTGTTTGTTTTGTTTTGCTTTAGGATGATTTCTTGCCTAGGACAGCTACGCCTTTAGAAGACATATTCAAGTCTCTTTTCTGGTAAAGCTTTCTCAGTTATACCATTCTATATGCAAAAGCCATCTCTTTTCTTTTCGAAACTTTCAACGATAGCTGACAACATTCGCACAAGTCCTGTTCCGGTCCGCTAAGTAAAAGCATAAATCCTGAAAAATAGTTGGTCCTTGATATGTCTTGCATGCTCATTTGGTACATATTTGGGCTTTTTGATACTCTATGTTGTCATCATCGAACGTTCCCTTTAACTACTTGCAAAGAGCTTTTGTTAGTTAAGTTTGTTTTGTAGAACACATATTCATTACTCTGCTTAGCTGTAATGAGTTTGTGTTTGCTGTTTTTTTCTGTGTGTGGACAGTTTGCCATGTTTGCTATGCATAAGGTGCGTGAAGGATACATGTGTTCCAGAACAGAAGATGCTCAAAGATCATAGGCGGCTTTACGCTCCTGGTCGAATGTATCACATCGTCGAAAGAAAGCCTTGCAGGTACATAAAAGGACCCTGTTTCTCATCTCAACTACATCGAAGATGCATCATATTGTGAAGTTTGTGCATTTGATCGTTTTGGTAACTGTTTCTTGCAGATTAGGAAGATATCCTCCGGTTGTGAAGACAGCAGTGCCAGTAGACGGAAGGTTCGAACACATTGTTCTTTCTTGTAATGCAACTTCAGACCACGCCATCATTTGGATCGAGCGAGAAGCTCAGAGAGCTCTCAACGTAAGTTTTTCACTAAACCTCATTAGACGATAAATCCTTAGTAGTGCTAAACTTGTGTCTGCTATATTTTTCAGATAATGTTGGAGAAGGAGAAGACAATGGAGATCCCTGAGAAGCAAAGGATGGAGAGGCAAGAATCTTTAGCCAGAGAGCACAACTTGGAGTATAGAGCAGCGTTAAGACGAGCAGTAACGTTGGCTGTTCCTGACGCTGACTCATTGTCTTCTGAGTACGGAACATTTGACAAAGCTCAAGAAGATGAAACAGAAGAGGAAGAAGAAGAAGAAGAAACAGAGGAAGAAGAAGAAGAAGAAACAGAATCGATTGCATCAATGGTGGGTGAATCATCATCATCCTCTGTTCGTCCAACGTACAAGAGAAGAAAGAACCGTGGAGTTAGTTGGGACGAGCTTATCGAACGTCTCTTTGAGAGAGACGAGTCTGGTAACTTGACATTCGAGAAATCAGATTTGCGTCAATGATTCGATCAAATTTCTTTTGTATTGTGAATATTGAATGTGTGTAAAAAACAGTTTTTTCATACAATCATTATCATACAGACCACATTGGTCCGAATTATTACAGTATATTTCTTCTCCTTCTTCCAAATCGAATCAGGGAATTAGGGTTTTGTCTTGGGTTGAGGAAGAGCACAAGCGGATCTGAAAGCTTCTACCTGAGCCCGACACTTTGATTGATCTCCTTTATTTTCTTCCAAGCATTTCTTCAGCGCCTCTACGTCGCACGATGAAGCTATCTTCTTCACCGTAACATTTTCTGGTTTCTTCGCTTCTTCCATCGTCATCGTCGTCGTCTTTGTTCCAGGACTCGTTTTTGACAACCGCCGATGGACTAAGTCACGAAGATGCCTTTTTCTACTTCCTTGAAACGACAGCGTTTTTTTCCCTACAGTAAACGGTGTCGTATTGTTACAAGGTGGAGTCGTTTAAACGACGGCGTTTATTTTTTTCAGTTAAAAACGGTGCCGTGTCTACAACATCGCATGCTTCTTGAAGCATTAAGATGGATGTTTAGAATGGTAACACTAAAAGATAGAGACATTGTAATTGTTCTATGATATTTATATATCTAAAGTTGATTTGATTTTGCAAACGTTTGTGTCTTTCTTATTATGTATAAATAATTGTGCTTCTATGGGTCATACGTATATATTTACTCTGGACAATAGTTCTTGTGCAAACACTAGTACTAGATCAAGCACCATAACGTAACAATGCTCTATTGCTTATACATGAAGAAGAGCTGTCAGTAGCAGCCACAGCAGCGGCGGTAGGAAAACGCCAAAACGGCCAACACCAAGCGTTCCTAAACTTTCCGCGTCTGCTTTCTGTAGACTCTGCTTCTTCCAATTGGCGGTAGAGATGTTCAATGCGGTTGAGAAGTTCAGATTTTCTTCTCTCGGCCAATCGCAGCGATTTCTCAGCTGCTTCTTCTGCTACCATCGCAGCTTTCGCTAGCTCTTCTTTCAGTTTTAGTCTCCCTTCTGATATCGCCAAAGCTGACCTCATCTTCTCAATCTCTGCCTTTAAAACCGCTATCTGAATTGTGAAACAAATGTTTTTTTGTTTGTTAATTATGTGGTTGTTTTGTTATTTGTCAGTTTGGAATAGTGAATGAAAACTTACGAGTTGATCTCGTTCTTCGACTTCACGCTGCCCAGCTTCTACTTCTAGCTCGCAAGCTACTCTCCATCTACTTACTTCTGATTCAGCTTCTCTTATGACCTTCACTAACTCTTCCACCTTTGGTTTCAGTAACAACAAAATCAAGATTCACTACACAATATTGAGAAAAGAGAATGGAAGAAGCAAGCCAAAATGCGAATACATTACCTTTCGACATAGAAACCTCTCTCGGTTTTGCAGCTTGTCGATATCCACTTTGTTCTCTGCTATTGTATGAGCTTGAACCTCTGTAATTTTCTTCAAACGCGCTTCTTCTAACCTGTTAGATCAAGAAAACGACACTTCTTCCTTCCATCTTCTATATATGTGTTGGGTTCAAGAAAAAAAGAAGCTTACCTTGATTCCTCTAAGGATATCTTCAGCTGAGAGATATCTTTCCGTAGATTCTTCATTGTTTTCTCTATTGCCATAACCTGTTGTTAGTGTTAACGTAGTTTCCATTATACTTAAATCTTTGTTAAAACCGAGAATCACAACAATGTGTATAAAGTAATGAACATACCATACTATTCTCATCTTCTTCTTCTTCTTCTTCTTCTTCTTCTGCTTCTTCTTCTTCCTTCGCGACGTTTCTTGTTTCTGAGCTTTCCTGTACCGATTCCCTAAACCCGAACCCGAACCCTATGCTCTGCAACCCTCGTTCTGCTATTTGTAGCAACGCCGATCTCTTCTGTTCGTTCGTCTCTTTCAATTGCTTCTCTGCGGCTTGTTTCTCAGACAAAGCAGCCCTTAACAAGACACTGATGTCTCTATTCTCATCCTGCAAGAACTCCACACTTCTACTTAGCTCCATCTTCTTCTTATCCATCGTTTCCATAAGCGTCTCCACCTTCTTTTCAACCTCCTTGACTAATTCCAAAATAGACTTGGAATTATATTTCTCTGGTTCCGGTTCTTCCACTCTCCCCTCTTCCGGAACATTCTCTTCGTCTAAACATCGGATCGAACTCGACAAGCGATCTTCTACAGATCGTACAGATTCCGCAATTTCCGAAAGTAGTCTGGATTTCTCATCTGTTTCTTCTTCCAGTTCAACGACTCTTATTTTAGAAACTTCCAGATCTCTCTTTGCTTCCTCTCCGATCATCGCCACCTCCGAGAATCCAGCTTCAAGCTCCTGATTTCTTCGCCTAAGCGCATCTCTCTCGTGAGACAACTCGTGGTTCGCTCTAATCAAATCGGTTTTCCGACAAACCGCCTCGAATATCTGGCAACGGAGACGGACAAGGTCTGGGTCTAACGAAGTGTAGTTCCGTTGTCGGAGGTCGTTGTCTTGATCCATGGGAGATGATGTGGACAGTGGACTTGTGATAGGTGAGGACGCAAAGTATGTCTGAAGTTTGATGACTCTGATTTGCCAAATACCTAACAGTCAATTGACAACGCTTTATATATATCCTCCACATTAGGTTTCAAATTTTTCCCTTTTTTTTGCCGGGGAAAAAAGGAACGACATCGTTTTCGGCGTAACTTTCAGCTGTAAGAAGTAAGAACATTCTCTTTTTAGTATTCTCTCTGTTTTTAGCTGACTTTTGGTATTCTCATTGTAAAGGAGGACGTCTTGATTTCTGAGAGAAATCTTTTTTACGATGATCTGAGAGAAATCTTTTTTACGATGAAAAAAGTGTAGAGTATCTAAGTGGAGAAGTGTTTAGTTGAGATTGTTAGGTAAACAAAATTGAATATTTGAGATAAATATTAGTACTCTCTCTATTTCATAATAAATGTTATTTAGAAAAAATGTATCTGCATCTGCAATATATATGGATGTATTAAACTCAAAATACATCCAGATACATTCAATTACAATGCAGATACAAATGACAAAGAGACAAAGAGGGAGTAATAGAGAGAATGATTGGTGAGAACTTCAAAACAACATTGTTAAAACCAACCGAGACACACTAATTAAGCTTCAATTCGAATTGTAACTGCGACAATATATGTGAGGCTTTATATATTTTCCATATGTTTGGGGATGAATTTACAAAGTGACAATCTAAAAGAATTGTGATTTGTCCCCCTCCCACAAAAAAGAGACAAAAAGTAAAATCACCATTGGTTTTGCCAATCTTGGATAGCTAGATGAAGAGCGTGATTCGGTATGAGATTGCAATCTTCCATCTTCAGGTTTGTCATCGGCGACGTATCGTGCCCGTTCGCTAACCATTCCCTTATCGCTTCCGCTTCGTACGTGAATCCGTCTGCTGCTATCAAAGGATCTTTCATCACTTCCTGTGTGTTCACAAACAAACAAACATGTTTCAAGTTTTGTCTTTAATCATGATCGTTCAAACTCTGTTTAAGCATTGAAACTCACACAAAAGTACCTGGAAAATGGGGCATAGGTAATGAGAAGGAGGCTTCCGTGGAACTTTCTGGTTCGAGTAAGACGATGATTCAGAAGAAGGAACTACCGGAGATTTCATTCGATCTATAATCCGTAGAACCACGACCAAATCTGGTCGATTCAACGGGTTTTTCTTACAGCAACGGATGGCTACATTAGCTAGCTTCTTCCCTCGTGCGACTGGCCAATCTCCTCCCGAGTTATCCAGAACCGCGCTGATGTTATCGTTCTCAACAGCGCATTTGACGTCTCTAAGTACGCCAGAGAGAGGTCTTCTGGTGAGAAGCTGAAGGAGAATCATTCCAAACGAGTATATGTCTGATTCCAGCGTCATTTCACCGGAGAGAAAGTAATGCGGATCCACGTAAGGATCGGATTTGTCGACGCCATCGATCGGGATCAGCTGAGAGATCCCATAGTCGTTGATTTTGGTGACGAGATTGGTGTCAAGGAGGATCTTGGATGGTTTTAGGTTTCCATGAATGATGCAAGGCACATTCGAGTGAAGAAACAGAAGCGCAGAGCATATTTCAGAAGCAATCCTGATCCGAGATTCCCATGAAAGCGCCTTCTCAGATGAAAGGCAGTCTTCGAGGCTTCCATTAGGAATGTATTGGTAAATTAGAGACCGAGACTCTGGACAAGTTCCCACCATTGTTACCAGATTCGGATGCCTTACCCTGCTTAAAATTTCCACCTGAAATCCAAAAAAAAAACAAATCAGAATTTGTAAAAATCTCTACGGAGGATGTTTGCATATGTAATGAAGTCATTATACAAGGTCATTTACCCGACGCTCGAACTCAAAGTGATTCTGGGAGCCATAAGAGGGTAACATCTTTACAGCAACTTGAAGATTTTGAAGATTCCCTTTGTAGATGCTTCCGTATTTGCCTTCTCCAAGTTTCCAGGAAGGATCGAATTCGTTAGTAGCTTCGTTGATTTCCATGAACGAATAGTCGAGCATTTCTGACCCGGAAGACTCTCCACCCTTTCCTTTGATCAACCTCTTTAATGCGTTTACTTCCTTTATCGCGTTCTCGTGATCGATCCGGATCTCATCCCTTTTCTGCCTGAAACTTTTCAAGAGCTCCATTGCTGTATCGAATTTCTCACCATGTTCTTTTTCCAAGTCCTGCAGTTTCCTGATCTGGCTCTCCAACTTAAGATTATCACCCTGAACCATTTGGAGTTTTTTCATGAATCCATTGTTCTGCTCTATTACCGTCTTCACTTCATCCTTTTCCTTTTCCAGCAATTCCTCCAATTTCTTTCTTCGACTCAACTCCTTATTGCATAACCCGTCCAAGGCTTTCGCCTGTGAGATGGCATGACAAAAAAAAAAGAGTTAAACCGGGAGAAATGAGTTTGACCAAGTGCAGCAGCTTAAGAATCTTGACAGAAAAATATACAACGCCCTCTGAGGCAAAGCTTGCTCATCTTAAGAATCTACACTCTTTGAATTTTCATTTGTTGTGATATACAATTACACATGAATCTACATATCCACTTCTTTTGATCAACTGAAGAAGTTCTGTACCTAATGTTAGCAATCTACTAATCCCCAGTGAAATATTTCTTTTATGTTTAGCCTTCTTGCATGTGGTAACTAGATGTACTGATTTATCTATCGCACAACTAGCAACGGATAGATATACTATCAATTTGAAAACTATCATCTCCATTTCATTGATAGCTCATAACTGAGAAATGGACTGGACTTATAACCTTGTATAATGCCTCCATGGTACTGTCATCCTCTTTCGATTCGTTCCGAGCTTCCCCATAAACGGTTCTCTCTGATTGGCCGATATCATGCATGGCTTTGTCATACCTATGAACTTCGCGTGCCACATTTCCTTCACGTTTCTTCTCCTGAAATTCCACAGGATTCACCCCATTAGCAGGCAGATTAAAGGCTTGCTCATACTAAAAAGTGACAACACCATGTGCAAATGAAGACAGCTTTCAATATATCGCATTGGCAAAACTACTCGAAAATCGTTTCCACAAAATTCACATTTTTAAATATCTCTATATCAAGAACTTGTAAGAAAAACCATCCCCTGTATTTATTTGCCAAAATAAAGTATTTTCACGCAAAGTAAGTACTAAAGGGATTTATAGTTACTGCATGACAAGTATATCAACATAAAAGATGAAAGTAAAGATGAGGTAATATCCTCCTACCTCAACATTTGAGGTAGTTAAGGTATTTGAGCTAACTAATTCTGGGCCAGCCGGCTCTGGACCAACCGGTTCTCCAAAGGAAGAACCTGAACTTGAAGAGGAATCAGGAGTTGGTCTTGGTTCCACCTTTTCTCTCTCCAATTGACTTGTATCTTTCTCACCATCTGCACAATTCTGTAACAAAGTTACCATACAGAGACAGAATACAACTGATGGCAAAGGAAAAATGCAGAAGGATATTGCAAAAAATACAAGTCAATCGCTACCTTGCTCAAGGAGGCTACGCCAATATCTTAATCTTCTCCGCATATAAGAGGATTCCAGTTTTTCTGATTTCCTCGTCTCGGTATCTGACTCCAGCTGTACTAAGGGAGGCATTGTTTGTCTGTTATTACTATCGTCATTTGTTGCCCTGTTTTTAAGAGCGCTTCTTTTAGTTATATGAATAGAGTCAGAAAACAAAAACAGATAGTAGAAGCAGTCAATAGAAGGTGTAGTCTAGCTAAATCCGAGAACCAAAGTTCCATGACGTAACATATGATATCAAAGTTTCTACAGATGCATCCTAATAGTTCAGCTTTGGGAAAGACGATGATTACGATATCTGATTTCACTCTTTCTGCAACCTTCGAAAGGAAAAAGAAAAATTACCTTGTAAAGATAAGGTAACCTTTACACAGAAACCAAATATGGCAGAAATCAGGAGCTTTTTTGCAAACGAATATGGCTTTCTTGGACTTTAAATCGGTCATTCTCCTGGTATTTCACATTTAAATTGATAATATGAATTTCACAGGTCAGATGGAAAAACATTTACAACCTATTTGATAAAATACAGAATCATATCTTACCATGAGTAATGCTTATCTGATGCAGCACCCATTACAAACCACTTAATCTTGTGTCGAGCAATTAGGTCTACGATACCTTCCTCGACATTTTCCCCCGCGATGCAAAGTTTATCTGTTTGAACCTAAAAAAAACTATGTCACTTCATTCGTTTATCAAAGGAAAGGGTCCTAACTAAGAATGCCTAAAGATTTAACGAGTCCGAGCTCTACATTTATGACAGGACACAAGGTTACCAAAGATTACATGAATATTCAAAGTGAGTTTCAGTGAGTTGCCTTATTCGAACTGTACTTGACCAATAACGATACACAAAATAAAAGAGGGACTTAATACCTCAGTTTCAGATAGAAGACGAAGATAAGAATCCATAACCTCATCCACTTTTTGCTTATCAACACGCTCAATCACCTTGACACCATGTTTTCTAAAGGTACCACCGGCAAATTTCTTGTGCGCTGTAGGTAAGCAAAAATCAAATCTCAGAAAATTACCAAAGACTGGTAAAAGGAAAACAAAATGCTATGAACAACAGCTAAAGACATCAATCTCCAGCTTCCACAAAGAAAATTAAACTTTTTCAATTCTAAGACAAAAAAAAAAAAACCAACAAGTGTTGCATTGTACAATGTAGAGAAAAACAAATAGCTAATCTTATTTACCAAATTACTGTCATCATCATCATCCTCATTCTGGCGTTCATCAACTTCAATTTGATACAAAAATCATTTAATTTCTTCTTTCAAACTCTTCAATGGCTTATTATGAAAATGTATTTTTATGGTCTATTCTTTATAAAGAAATATAATTAAATGTTTTTCAGATTTTGTTAGCAAAGGATATATATATATATATATATATAAATAGACATCTCAAGTTAAAAACTCAGTAACTTCAATCATAATTCGTGAGTAATACATATAGAAAGATTTATGAAGTTATTATTAATTTCGAAATTCCGGAATTCTCAGTAAATTCTTTTTAGAAACAGACGAAATTTCGATTCCGTCTAGGTCTCATAATTCTACAGATCTATACATCCCCAAAAAAATAATAATAACCTAAACCATAATTCACCGCAAATAAGTAACTTAGAGAGAAAAGAGAGCAGAAGATCTCACTCCACGAGGCTGGCCGAGCAGGACGATGGACGTAAAGCAAGCAAATCTTCTTGCCGGAAAAGTTTCGCGCCGCCCATAACACCGTCGTTTTGCTCCTCTCCACATCATCCGCCACCGCGACGAAGATCGTCTCATCCACATCTAAAAGCAATTCGTCTCCACCGATTTCTCCAATACTACCCATTTTTTCGCCGCCCACTTTACTCTCTCTGTCTCTCGATTAGCTTTTCTACAAGCATTTGTTCAATTTCAATATTACTTACAAAGTCACTTTATATAAAAGTGGAGGAAACTCGTGAGATTCCTAGAATTGGAATCGTTTTATGGCTCGGACGAGTCGCCAACTCGGTTAGGAGTCAACCGATTTACCTAATTGGAAGATAGAAAAAAAAGAAAGAAGGTTGGCTTCTTCTCGATGAATAGTCTCTCCTACCACTGGAACCGAATCAATCCACAAGAGGTCGTCCAAAATATTTGTTAATCGGTATTTCCTATTTTCTCGACCTGTAACTTCTATTTTAATACTATTTAGAGTAAATAACAATTAAGAAACGTAACATAGACACACATGTAAAGAGTTTTGGGAATCTTGTGACAAATGTTAAAAATTTGAAAATGTAACATACGGTTACATTTCCTTACAAGAATTTTTAATAGTTCCTTAAAAGTCTTTAAGAATAAAAAAAAAAATTGTGATCTGTGATGTTTAAAATCTACTAAAATGATAAAAGGGTCTAAATACCAAAAAAATTGTGACCTTTAATAGTTTTGAGTTTTTGTCACTACTACAGCTTCTTTATAATTCTTAGAATTTGAAAGTCTTGCATTTCATCAAATACACAATAGAACCGGATGTCGTATTAGCTACATGGAAATACAAATATAAACGTTTTAAGAAACTATAAAATTTAAAAGTTAAAACAATCAATGGTAAATGTTACAGTTCTAGACTTCTAGTACATGGTAAACTAATAGAGCCGAAGGAAAAAAAAAAATACAAAACAATACAATTTTATTTGGATTTGGGAGCGAATGAACAATGAGGTGGATCATCCGAATTCAAAATCTCTCTAACCAAAAGATTCCTTGCTCGATTAATAGTCATGAAACACAAGTAGATATGTTCTTCAAGCTCATCAAGCTCTTCACTAAAGCTTTCTTCGCATCTATTCAATTCTCGAGCCACTTCTTCACCGGCTCGAACCCGACCCGAACCTCTTCCAGCCCAAAACTCAGCCATGGCTCGTACATGCTCCACTTCATCGTTAATCCGAATCACTAACCGGCTTATCGTGTCCAAATCACGGCTTAAAATGTAAGTACCTTTCGCAGCCACGTCGAGCCGAGACGCAGTTTTCGTCAGCCTATTCCTTAAACCAGCCGGTTTAAATCGACCGGTTAAAAGGGTTGGACCGGCTATGAACAAAGCAAAGGCGTGAGAGGCAATGGTTACAATCAATGTAGTGGTTAGAGCCAAAACGAGAATCCCTGAGCTATGAGTTAGTCCGTTGATGAGCTTGAGCTTGGCTCTTGTCTTGTCTCGGTTAGACTCTAACCGTTTTAGCAGGTTTAAACAACTGGATCTGATTATTTGGATCCGAGAACACGACGAGGTAAACGGGTCGAACCATCTTGAAAGCTCCGTGAATTGGTCTAGAAAAACCAACGAGTTATGATTCTCCGATTGAAATTTGGGTTTCAGAGATTCGTATTTAGAACGGAGACGGTGAATGTTTTTAAGTAATAGCGTGCAAAGCAAGAAAGCGTTTGCCGTCTCCAAGAAGTAATCAGAAAGAAGAGTTCGGGTGGGTCGTCCAACCCGGGCTACCTCCAGGATCCGGATAACGGTGTTTGGGTCCGGGTCTAGGAGATTATGTGCAAAGAGACGGTATGACATGAGACGAGCTGACGTGGAGGAGGATTCGACTGGTGAAGAAGAAGACGAAGAAGAAGCCATGGTGGACTTTTTGCTGCTTAAGTAGATAACACGTGTCCAAAAATGATTGTATGATTCTGTACGGAAGGCGTTTGCATATTCTTCTCGAACGTCCACGTCATCATCATCTTTGGGACTTGAATTCCCCGAAGCTGTATAAACAGAGAACGTTTTAAAAGGAAATTCGAGTTTTTTTATATGCAGTTTCGTGATTTAGTAACTGCATTAAAAAAAAAAAAAGACCATTGAAACTAAACCTGTGGATGCGAGAATCCGTTTGATCTTTGATGAAACTTTTATGCCCATCCCTCGAGATCTTGGATGAAGCAAAATCTATTTTGTATTTCAAATAGAGAGGTTTTGGTTTAAGATGTTGGGAGAACAAAATGAGAACGACATGAAGGTTTCCTTTTATTATATAGTTGTTCGTGTGATATATTATCATAATGAAAAAAAAACTGAATAAAGAACTATTTGTTTTGCTTGCTAGAAAAAGGGATATCCAAGGATTTTGTTGGGAAATCTCTTAGTACTACTTGTAGTGGCAGTGAAGACATATCGAGAAATTAAATGAGTGGATGCTTGCACGTTATATAAAACAAGAACTCCAAGTGACTAAAAGGTACTTCACAAAATGTCAAACAAAATCTATCCATTCATTTCCCTTTTATGGAAAGTCTTTACACAAACTCATGGCTCCATGTTTACCGAATTTGGAAGCTGTGGTAGGGATCAAGAATCAAGATTTAGCAAACAATTGAGTTCGTATAATAAGTTGATCACTATGTTTGAACACCAATGCGTCTTTTGAAGAAGCAGGAACAAAACATACAAAATATGTGTCCTGACTCACAAACCAACGAAGCTCAAGTTTCCAAGACCCGAGTCATACATAATAGAAGAATGTGTTGGTACAAGAAAAACCAAGGGATTGGACCAAAAGAACAAGTTATTTTTCCGGTGATTCTTCTAAACCCGGTATAAGTAGATGAACCAATAAATTTAAAGACAGAGAAGAAGAGAAGATATCGTACGCGTTTTCGAGATTTAACGCTTGACCCATTGAAAGCTCTTTCTTGCCTTAGCTTTACCAGGTTTCTTCCTTTCCACAACTCGAGAGTCTCTTGTCAAAAAGCCAACTGAAACATATCGCAAGATACAAAAAAAAAAGATCGAGATCAAGACCAAACAGACAATACTTGGCTATCAAATGGAAACATCAATCATACAATATGCTGTATTCTCTGCTAAAGAACATTAAAAAGGAATCTTGCTTACCAGATCGAAGTGCTGTCCGCATATCTGGTTCCCAGTTTTGCAATGCCCTGCTGATACCCAATTGAATAGCTCCAACTTGACCTTTTAAACCAAACATTTTTTTTTAAGTACACAGACTAAATCTTCAGAAAGTTTGTTGATGGCAATCTACATATATGTTTCCTCATGACCACATCCTCTAGCGTATAAACCATACTAGCTAGGTCCAAATAGAGAGATTCGAGGGATCTTTACCTGTAGTTCCACCGCCGTTAACAGTGCACTTAATATCCCAACTTCCCAAGGTTTTGGTTTCAGCGAGCGGGCGGAGAAGAGCAGCACGGTGATCAAGCATCGGGAAGTAGACATCGAACTCTTTATCGTTAACGAGGAACTTTCCTTTCCCAGGTATAATCCAAACGCGAGCAACGCTGCATTTCCTTCTCCCGGTTCCATAGGCTCTCCCCGTTTCATCCACTTGTCTCACCCGTGATTTAGCGATTTGCTCTTGCATCTGGAGTTCTATGTCAGCTCTTGAAGACTTCTTTGAGCTCTTCTCACGCCGCAGGCTTTCGATCTCAGTCAGTGGAGGCAATCCTTCGACCCCTTGCAAGTCCTTCAACGCTATCAAACTATCTAGCATTTCGTCTGTTATACCCGACTTAGCAATAAGGTCTCCGAATGCTCGATCAGGTCCTGCAAAATAGTAAAGTTCCAAATCAGTAAAACTGATAAAACTTACTCTACTTCTGGTGCCTATCAACATTCAACTGACCATCGTTAATAGAAAGTTAGAAACCACACATTAAGCACCAAACTATCCACTTCAAACACAACTCTTTCTACACAAATGCTCAAGCCTGGTCAATAGATTGATTACGCAACGTTAACAAGATCAAGTCATGTGATCAAATTTGTAGCTCCAGATTCCAAATCTAGTCACATTTTTCCGAAGTATTGGTGCATTGCAAATCAAAGTCAAAACTTAAGAAGTCAGCAAACAAATTCGAGGAATCTCTCACCTTTGATAATCTCAGTGAGCTCTTTCTCCTCCTTCTCAATCACTTCCTTCTTCTTACGCTCTTCCTCCGCGTTTTCCAAGCTGGTTTCAAAGCTAAGTGCCATCTCACCGCTGGTATTAAACACGACCGTATCATCTTCCTCCTTCAAATTCCATGGCTTAGACGCATCCCACCCATTGGATTTCACATCTCCGCTAGTTCCAGAACTGTTCGCCATCTCACCTTCGGTACCGAACACGACTTTCTCAACTCCTTCCTTCATATTCCACCGTTTAGTCTCCTCCCAGTCATTGGCTCTCCTCTCGCGGCCAGTTTCAATCCCTTGCGACACCTCTTCGCCCGTATCGAACACAACTTTATCCTCTTCCTCCTTCATGCTCCATCGCTTAGGCTCCTCTGAGCCGAATCCTGGAACTCCGGAGGAAGCCCAAGAATCATTGGAAGAGAAAGGATCGGACTTTCCATCGTTTACTCCGGAAAAACTCCACGGTGCGTCATTCCGATTAGGCCCATTCCCGTTGTCATTTCCGCCGCCGCTACTGTTGGTGGAAAGCGGACGGATAAACGATGAGAAGATCTGAGAGTTCGACTTGGATGAAGCTAGGGTTACGAGACGGAGGTTCGAAGGTCTAAGGAATAAACGAGAGAGCATGATGATGACGAACAGAGAGATTCAGAGATTGGAGGAACAACAAAATGTTGCAGAGAGAGAGAGATTCGAAGAAGAACGGTTAGGGTTTTACTTAGAACCACTTAAAATTCTCAATACTAACGAACCGGTCCGGTTTTACCAGGTTCATTCCGGTTTGACTGTAAGTCAATTCTTTTTTGTGCCATAAACACAAATAAGAAGCCGTCTCTGATTCTCCGTCGAGGTTTACTTTGCAAAATCTGCAGCCTTTTGTCTCCCGGAGATTCCAGTTCGCACCAATTCCATTCGCATTTTTAGCTGAATCAAGATGGTGTACGTCGTTTCCTGGGACGAATTTGTGGATCGATCTGTTCAGCTTTTCCGAGCTGATCCCGAATCTGTAAGTTATTTTGTCTTGCTCTCTCTCCTCCTTCTAGATTTCGTTCATCACTATTGCTTTTGGAGATATTTAGCTTGTTTATATCGTATTTGGATTAGAATCCCGATCTCGTGTTGGATATACGATAAATCTCGATAATTGATGTGAATCTCGCCGTCTTGGTCGCAATCTGGCGATTAGAATTGACAGAATTTAATGAATTGGATGTTTTGGATTCAATTTTTGTGTGGTGCAGACTCGGTATGTCATGAAGTATAGACACTGCGACGGCAAGTTGGTTCTCAAGGTTACTGATAACAAAGAGGTAAGTAATTGACTGTGTCCGCTTCTCTATGATCGTTGCTTCTAATTGTTTGTTCTTTGGAATCCATGGTTATAATAGACACCTCTCCATTGTATGGAATTTGATATTTGATATCTGATCTGGATGATAGTTTGATTGTATGATGCTGATGATTTGGAGAATGTAATTAGGATTCCATGACTATTAAGGGACTTTTTTGGTGTTGTTGTTTCGTCATACTTATGTAGTAATTTTGGTTTTGGCTTTTGGTGAATGTGATTGCTAATAGGCTACGTCTTCGATATCTCTTAGTTTTCTTATATCTTGATGAATTGAACATGTCTTGGTCGTTGTGTTAAGTAAGCTGATCAAACCAGTTTATCATAGTGGATGTTGAAGCATGCTTGTGTCTGTTTGTCAACGTGCAAGAATTTAGAACTCGTTGGTTTTACTCAAAAGAATTATATCAGTTTATGTGGTTAATTAGCTTTTCCCTGTTGTAGCGTTCTTGTTTCATCCTGTGCCTTCATTTTTATGTGTAGCATATTATAGGTTATATCTCTCTCTACTTTGTCTTTAACTTGCAGTGTCTCAAGTTCAAGACAGACCAAGCACAAGAAGCAAAGAAGATGGAGAAGCTGAATAACATATTTTTCACCCTTATGGCCAGAGGACCTGATGGTAAAAATTTCATTTATCTCCTACCAAACTTAAAGAAAATAAGAGTTGGAATTTCACATTTAAATATGCATCATATTTTAACTTTTGAGAGGAAAGCTCCTTTGTTTTATTGCGTTATGAGATCCTAACACCGGTCCATTAGTGCATAGTTTCTTTTTATGAGAGACCGTATGTATGATCCTTTACCAGATATTGAGTTGATATGGTCTAACGTTGGTACATCGGTGTTAACATCCTCTCTTCTATTGCGGTTATATAGCTTACTAATCTATGTTGGTTGTAAAATGCAGTTGATCTCTCTGAAGTCACAGGGAAAGAACAGATGATGGAGACACAACCTGCGAAAAAAGGAAGAGGAAGGAAGCAATAAGTGAAAATAAAGTCACATGAATTCATTTCTCTCCTCTTTCTTGGTATCAAGATTTTGTTCTGAAAGCTAATTAACCACATAAATTGGATTTAGTATTACTCTTTTTTTTTTCTTTCTTTTCTTTATGTTCTTCTTTTTCCACAAGTGCATGGGGAGTCTATGATAACCTAAACCCAAAATATTAACCTTTTAACTATGATTTTAAATTTGATCAATGCCCCTACAGCTCGAATAATTACAAGTCCGCTTGTGCATAAAATGTCAATTATAAAAGCCTCAAATATGACAAATAAGATGGGCTCTTACGAGGGAAGCCTCATTAATTCACTGTTTCAAGTAAGCGACCTAATTATTTCCTTCTTAAGCACTAAGCAGAGGAAGTGCGTTCATATCTAACTTCCACAAATGTTACGATGATTCTTTTTTTGTCCATTTTATAAATAATTTAAATAACATAATATCTAACATAACGTGTGCAAGCAATATATATTGGCGCTCAGTTAGATTCAATTTCAAAATGAACGATGCATAAATTCTGAACGGATCTATATCATATAGCGATAGATTTTGTTATCATGTGACTTCGTGAATTGGAATCAGAATATTTGATATGTCTTCATGCATTTTGACACACCTAATAAAAAAAAACACCCCATAAAACAAAAGGTGACGAAATTTGCTGACAAAGTAACGCATCTCACTTAACATTTAGACAAAAAAAGAAATAGTAACGCATCTCATGCCAGTCTCTATATATAGCAAGTGTAACCGTAGTTTTCAGAATAAGAAACAACTAATAAAACATGGAGCTGAAAAGTAATTCGTCCGCAGTCAAGAGAGATGAAATCGACCGGCCATTAGCTGATTTTCCGGTAAACATATGGGCAGATCCTTTGACATCTTTCTCAGTTTCCCACCCGGTACGTACCCAAATACCTATATTTCTGCTCATCCCAAAAATCTTAGGTCACATCTAATACAATACATGCACTATGATAATAAATTATAAGTTACATGTCTCTTGTGATATATAGGAAAGTGAGAGAAACAAAGAAAAGCTGACCTCGCTGAAGGAAACTGTGAAGGAATTGTTTATGGCTTCGAAAGAGAAACCTATAGAGAACATTAAGTTGATGGATGCTTTGTGTCGCCTCGGTGTTTCCTATCACTTTGAAGACGAAATCCTCGAGCAGTTGGAGAAGATGTTCGGTTGTCATGATTTCATGCAGATGATAAGAGACAGTGAATCCGATTTATATACCGTTTCCCTTGTCTTCCAGGTTTTTAGGCAGTTCGGCTATAAGCTCTTTGTCAGTAAGTATATATCGAAACTAGAGTTTTTAATTTACAAACATTTTATCTAAACTTGAACTTTACGATTATTTTCTAACTTTAAATAAATACTACTAAAAATGGGTGAATCAAGTGGTGTATTCGACGAACTTTTAGATAACGTACATATGTTAGTTATACAATTTTTTTTAATTAGTCAAATCAGAATCGTATATATGCATGATAAATTAGTAAATCCGGGAAATCAAATGTTATTTTTTTTAAAATCTTAATTAGTACTGATTTACTAAAGTTTCTATATGTGTACATGATCTGAAGATGTGTTTGACAAGTTCAAGAACAAGGATGGAGATTTTAAAGAGCACCTAGCTGATGATGCGAGAGGTTTGTTATGCCTTTATGAAGCTGCTCACTGGAGCACCCATGGAGAAGACATTCTAGATGAAGCACTCACTTTCTGTAGATCTCATTTGGAAAGATTGGTCTCTTGGTCTAGTCCTCATCTCGTGGTCCGCATCAAAAACGCCCTCAAGCATGCATACCCTAGGGGTATCTCAAGGATAGAAACAAGACAATATATCTCATACTATGAAAAAGAAGATGCTCACGATCAAATCTTGCTTGAGTTTGCTAAGGTAGATTTCAATCGACTTCAAATACTATACCGAGAAGAGCTTGGCCAAGTCTACAGGTACCATTTAAAATTAAACTATATATACACTAATACATCTTTCTTTCCAAATAATGGCCACTTGGATCTTTTTTTACATGTTCTAGGTGGTACAAAGATCTAGACCTCAGCTCGAAATTGCCATATGCAAGGAATAGGACGGTCGAAAGCTACTTGTGGGCGGTTGGGGCATATTTTGAACCTTGCTACTCTAAAGAAAGGATTACATTGGCCAAATTTATTATCATATTGACGCTGGTTGATGATACATACGATGCGTATGGTACAATTGAGGAACTCGAACCATTTACAGATGCTCTTATAAGGTGGAATCCTAGTGGCACAGAAGGGCTCCCGGAAAACATGAGGTATCTTCACCATGTTGTGTTAAACTTTTTTGACAAACTTGATGAAGATATGGAGAAGGAAGGGAAGTCGGGATGCGGCCTTTACGCAAAAAAATCGGTATATATATAGTTTCATAGTTCAAATTAAAAGCACATAAGCACATAAGTTCATGCATGTTGAATCTGAAAAGAAATTTTGTTGATTGCATGTTTAATGATCAGATGATGGTAAATGCTAGAGCATATCTTCGAGAGGCAAAATGGTTGAGCCAAGACTATGTGGCTACATTTGATGAGTACAAAGAGAACGGAATTTATTCAGCATGTTACTTAGCTATTTTAACAGTATCCTTTCTAGAAATGGTGGATGAAGCTACACTAGATGTGTTTAAATGGCTAAGCACTATCCCGCCACTTCTAGTGAGTTCTGCACTAATTGCCCGACTTTGTGATGACATTGCGACCTCCGAGGTAATTTTGTGATGACATTTCCGTGCATGGTTAAGAAGGGTCCGAAAATGTGAATTCATTTTGATAAAAAAAAATATAATTGGCTTTACTTGTTTTTTTTTCCCTGATCGAGTAGGGCCAAACTTCAAGCAAACTATAATATTTCGATTTTCTGATTTGATGCAGTTTGAACGTAAAAGAAAGCATGTAGGCACAGCCATTGATTGTTATGTGAAGCAATATGGTGTTTCACGGGAGAAAGCCTTAGAAGAGGTAAAGGTCATGGCATTGGATTCATGGAAGAGTCTTAACCAAGAACTGATGACGAGGCCTCAGCCGTTTCCTTTCCCTATCATCGTCCGATTCCTACACCTCTCAAGGGTCATCGAGGTTTTCTACAAAGACACTGACATTTTCACACAACCTGAGTTGATGAAAGATTATGTGGTTTCGTTGTTCCTTGAAAACATAGTTATTTGATGAGAAATCTATGAATTGTGTGTAAAATATGTGGCTTTCTTGGGTCGCATTTATCACATGTGTGTCTGTCTATTTTGTTTTATTTTCCATGTACAAGTGTTGAGTGAAAAATAAGTGGCTGTCTTTGGTTACATGATCACATGGAGTTTGTGTTTTTGAAATCCTAGATGAATGCACCATTTGTTTATATGTTGTATCTTTATTGTATAATTGCGTTCTTTTTTAACAATATACATACTTCAATTAGTTTTGATTCCTTTAATTACCTCCGGCAAACAATGTAAATGTTTTAAATATAATACTAGGTAATAACCTGCACCCTTTGCAGGGTGAAATAATTATTATTTATTTATATTTAATATAATTTAAAAATAATATAATATAATATAATTAAATTTTATAAATCTTATATAATATTATACTATAACATTGACAATGTTATTTTTTTTTTTATAAAATATAAGATAATTTAATTATAATGTAAATTAAATTAAATTAATTTAAAAATTAAGTAGCATGTATATGATATAGCTGGGTAAAAATACGAAGTTACCATACAAATTTTATATATCTCGTAATTGATGATATGATTCATTATTTTCACCAATGTCTAAGATTTGAGTATACAATATTTATGTATATATTTAATTAGATTTGACTTTTAAGTAATTAAATATTATTAGTTAAATAGTTTGTTACTTATCACTTAAATAAATTAATAAATTTTCCTAGTTCCAAATTGGACTTGTTAAAAATATGATACAAATCAATAAGATTATTTTTTTTTTTAGGAAAATCTATATAAATATATGGTTCCATTAATATCATAAATTAATAATTACAACAAAATAGTTTATATAAGTATATAACTATGATAATTTACTAAAAATATTTTATTTTTTTAAAATTTATATAATGTTATGGTTTATCTATAATTTAAAAGTAAAATATTTAAAGATATCATTAACTTTTTTAAAAATATAATTTTTAATTAGTTATTAATAAATATTTTATTTAATTTCGAACTGAAAAATTTATAATTCTATAAATTAATAAAATATTGAAATCATAATATTATCAATTTATAAAAAAATTACAGTAGTTAAAAATTCATTTAAAGCCGACAAACTAATAAAAAAAATATGAATAAATATCGTTAAAAATTTGATACTGCATATGATAAATCAAACATTTATTAAAAAAATAACAATTAATATTAATATTATCTTACCAAAAAAAAAGTAACCAATAATGCTATATACCATATTTGTCATCTAAGAGTCTTATCTACTACATATTATTTGAAAAGTAACATTATTGAAAATAGCTGACTTGTCAACACTACAGCCAAAGTTAGTGCTTTTAATTGATGACATGTAAATGTGACATGTCAAACTTCCTAAAATAAATGAAATGTTTTGATTGGTTGAATTAAAATTTAATAACTTGTGGAATTAAAATATAAAAACACTAGATTATACTTATAATACTAAAATTAACAAATTTTAAATTAACAAAAAATAATTATTATTATGATTTTAATGTTTTACATATATTCATAATTTTATAAAATATAATTGAAAAATGTTTTCAACATTTCATATGAAATCGAAAAAATAATACTAAATTATCCAATAGAATAGTAAAGATTTTATATATTAATAATGTTTGAAGTATGATATATTTTATTTTAAAAAATTATTAATTTACAAAATATAGTAATAACATCAAAACAAATTTTAAATAAAAAAATTATTAAATAACACAATTTTAAATAAAATACAATCATGATAAAAATAATTTAAAGAATAAAATATTAAAAATAATAAAAAAATAATTAACTTTTATTGAATTTTTTTAAAAACGTAATTGAAAATAAATTTTCTTCTCAAACCAATATTTACTAAATGAATAAAGTATATACTAATTATTATTTTATAATATTAATAGGACCACATATTTTTATAAAACTTTCATCACCTTTTTATTGTTGTTTTCTAAAATATACATAACTTATGTTACCATCTCATCTTATCTCTTATCATATTTTAAATAAAAAAATATCATAATTATATATATATATATATATATATATATATTTGTTTAGAATTTTAGATCTGCCGATTAGTCCTCCGCCGTGTTTCGTTCTGAGCGCCGATAAACATAAGTAAAAGCATTCAAATCAAGGAAGGCCGACCAGGCTCGAAGGAAATAAGATCGGCACAGAAGAAAGCTGATGAGATCGGCGTCTCACTAAAGGAGTTTCTTCAGATGTTTAGGGGCGATCAGATCGTTAGAAACCGATCGAAGGGAAAACGGGTCGTCGTTGAGGGATCAGAGTCGGATCGGTCCTCGGATGCGAGCGAATTGTCTGCGTTGGATCGTGCATTCCAGGAACGCGTTCGAGAGAAGAACCAACAGGCTGCGGCCGATCGGTTCCACGCCGATCAAGTCGGAATCGTCCAGAGATCTGGGGAAACATCGTCCAGGATTGAATTCGAGATTCCCAAATTACGAGATGAAGATGACGTGAGAGGCGGGTCGAACGAGATGGATATCTCGGACGAACTAAACGCCATCATCGTTGAGGATGAAGTCAATCAATTTGGTATTATCGATATGAATCCGCCAGTGAAGAAAGTTAAGAAGCAAAAAGGGGAGCCGATAATCAAGCCGATCTGCAAAAACGCTCTGGGAGTGATGCCGACCAAATCCACCCTGGAATCGTTAGTTACTTTGAAGGAAGAGTGCGATATTGGACCTGAGGTGATCTTCATGGTCCCGAGCCCGTCGGAGCGACCGTGGGACGCTCCTAAGGGATGACTATGTCTCCACGAGTGCTTTTTCATGGACTTCCATCTCTGGTTCCCGCTTCTGAGGCTTCTTCTGGAATTTTCCGCCCACAAAGAAATGCCGATCAGCCAGTTAACCCACGTGACGATACGCCTGATTGTCAGCATGCTGGTGATGATGATCAGGCACGATATCCCGTTGAGCCGAGCAGCGTTTGATGCTATGACGAACACACAACGCACGAAGGCGAATTTGAGGAACCGATGTTTATATTATACAAGCATGAAGACTAGGTATAACATCGTGACTGGCGGTCATAAAACCAAGGTGGCGGATTGGAGAGATAGATACTTCTTCGTGTTAATCAACGAGTTTTCTGTCGCCGATGCTGATAGAAATATCCAGATCAGAACGAAATGGGCGGAGGTCAAGGGTAGAGACATGACCGATATGAAATATAGCGTAACTATGATGATTTGATTCGCTGATCAAGTCGTTTATTTTTATTTTACAGGAAACAGACCTCTTCCCTTTGTTGACGACCCTCTCGATATCGAGGATATCTCGGATTGATTCGCGGCGATTAGTGCAATCACTTGGCCGGAGATTACTGAAGAGAGGATCAAAAGAACGAGAGTACGGATCCTATTCTTGTTTTGCACCTGGAAATAGAGTGGCAGGTCGGCTGACGTATTTTACTTTTCAGCTGCTCTCCTTCGTCACCAACACCGACGTGAAAAGATGAAGTCACTCACCTTCAAGGACCTGTCGGCGGATTTGGAAACTGCGTTCGGATCTCCCGAGGTCCGAGATCCAAAAAATCCTGCGGCTAAGGAGTCCGAGCAGGCAACTCAAAAAAGAATCGAAAAGGATTTGGCCAAGGCTAAGAAAGCGACCAAAAAGAAGGCTGCTAAGAAAGCAGAGAAGGCTCGAAAAGAGGTCGAGCTGGAGGGACAGAGTGATGATGCTCCGAACAAGGAAGAGAGCCCCGAAGATTCGAGGAAGCGAGGTTCAGAAGGATCTCCTGAGGGCTCAAGAACACCGAAGAGGTCTCGAGCCGAGAGAGAACTCCGCCCGTTCGGGTTTTCTTATGAATTCCGAAGAGATGTTCCGCTGGTGAACGATTCAGTAGTATGCTTGGACTACTTTCTTAAGCTGAAGGACAATCCATCGGGCCCATCAACTGATCCTCGCGGCTTTATTCGCAGCGAAGCGATTGTGCGTTTTACGCACGAGCAGGCCAAGGTAAAGTTGCATTAGAAAATCTGTTACTTACTTATACATGGGATCGACCTTGAATATTGATGTCTCGCGATCACAGGCCTTGAACACAGCACTGACTGTGATGAACGACTATGATCGGGATGCGAAGAAATGCCTGGCGGAAAGGGAGAGACTTCAAGGAAATCTCGAAGTTGAGCAGAGAAAAACTGCTGAGCTGGAGGTCGCGCTTCGAAAATCTGCTGAAGAACTGGAAAAACTTTGAGCCGGTGACGCGGAGAAGAGCAGACTGCTCAATTGAGCTGTGAGGCGGATTCAGAAAGAGAAGGTCGATTCTCAAAAGAAGCTGGAGGCCGAGCTGAAAGCTGCGGCTGAAGAGAAACTTGCCTTCAGGCAAGAAGTAGCAAAGCGCGTGACGATTGCAGTGAACAACCATTATGCGAGTCTGGTCGCAAAAGTGAAGGAGTCGCTCTCGCGTAAGGAGAAAGCCCATGAGTTGATCTCGACGGCAGCTCAGTGGGTCGGAGCTAAAAAAGCACTTGAGATCCTTTGTAAGCAAGGTTACAGCTTCCCGGCCCTGGTGGAGGAGAACATCGAGAATCTGATCGCTGAGAGTAAGGCAGAATTGGAAGCCTTCAAAGAAGTTAACTTTACGCCGGATGAGCTACAAGTTCAAGAAGCAGAGGTTTTTCTTGAAACTTCTAGCGACATCCCATCTGACGGAGCTAAGATTCTGGTGGAAGACGACCAGAGAGAGGCCGAGCTGGAAGATGATCAGGAAGCCGAACAGCCTAGCAATCAAGAGGCCGATCATCGTGATGGTCAAGAGGCCAAGCAGGAGGAAGGCGAGAATCAGGAAGAGAGGGAAGATTAGCTTTGCCTTTGTATTTTTGTTTATTTAATCTGATACGAGCTGTAATGCATTTTGTTCGCCGTTCTGGCATTCTAAATTAATGAGTTTTTTTTTTATTAAAAATCTGAACACAACAGCGATGCGATATCGACTTAAGTTTATGCGATTTTATATTTCTAAGTACTGAACGAATAAGCGAATAAGATCGGCATATATTCCATACTTAGAAATTTCTCAAGTCGAATACGAATTGCGACCAGGCCGGCTTACTAATTTTGCATGACTTAAGAATTGCAGAGCGGATTCTGGCTATGCAGATTGAAGTGTGAATACAAACGTGCGGGAGGC